GATGTTGACCATGTTGATCATTCGGAGACTGGCCATTGTTGCTCAAGGAAGCTTCCACATCAAGGCCAATGGCAAATCTCGGTTGTAGTCATGGGGCTCTAGGCCAGCCTGAAACCAAGTCGTTGAATCACCAAGTACGCAGATGCCGTCACTGGCCACAGCAAGTCATCAAAAGCACAACGCTCCAACATGTGCAGTGAAAGCCAACATTATGCCAAAGACAGGCTTGCACGAGGAGTAGCACAGTATATGAGCTTGCGCTGAAGTGGCATTGCTTTGGACATGTGTTTGAGTGAGGCAACGGGAATGTCTCATGATCAAAAAAGGGGTTGAAGACTCCAAGCCCGAGCCTACCAGTACGTGGTCAGGGTCGATCAGGTGGTGAGCCGAACCTTGCCTACCAGTGGCTGAAGAACATCAGCGACAAGACGGGCAGCGGACACTGGGCTTGCAACAGGAACTGAGCCATGCCTTTGGGGAATCTTGTGTGGTCATGATGTTTGTCTTCTTTTAGGGGGCCCCCAAAAAGATAGAAACAGCACAAACTTGTGGTTTCCCTTGAAAAGCCAAACAGAAAGGGGCAAAGACCCTACAGTGGCTCGTCACGTAGATGCTGTAGCCCTGGTGGCATAGACTGCAGATCTTGACGAACGCGACTTTGGCGTGTAGAGCTTGTCCATTAAAAGTGCATCATGACCGAGGCATGCTTTCAGACACGCCATTTGCTGCACCCATTGTCCTTTCTAAGATTGGGTTGTTGCAAGAAAGGCAAAGGCGCACCCGCCCTTCCAGTGCCCGCATTGGCCAAGGCATTGCCTACACCACAGGCACCTTGCTTGCAACTGGTTGAGCTATTTGTCGATCATTTGGTTTTTGGGCGAGCACATCTTGCAGCACGCGATGCCATACTCCGCATACCTCCCACACTTGCATCTTGCTGGTGATGGATGTACACGGCCAAGGCCAGCCATATTTGGCTTGTTCCCATGACCTGAAGAGCGGTTTCTGCAAGGAGAGGTATGCCAGTGTGCGATGGATGCGTGCAACATTGCCTGGAACAATGGCCCTAACAATGGCTTTGAATCCACATCCTGAGTTTCTCCTGGGTGAAGCACCGGCCGTGTGAGACGGTGTTGCTTGCTTTGTGCACCCATATTTACATTATGTGGTGTGGATTCCTGTCTTTGATCAAGGCTGCGGGGGCTTAGAAGAAATTGCGTGGCGATTTGTGTTGCGTGTTCATGCCTAGACCATTTGCTTTCCGCTGCAACCCCCGCATGCTATCACCTGTCTAAAATCAGACATGGGTTTGTGGTTTTGGAGGGTACCCTTTTGTGTGCTTTTGAAGGGGAGAACCGCCATGTTTTGAACCCCCCCGATTAGCTTACCCAGGGTCTCAAATCACAAGCAGGACGCCGACTTCACCTGCACGGCAGAGAACGTGCAGCGCACCTGTGCCACCTTTGGCAAGCAGTGCGTCGGCCTGTCCCACTACCCGAACGCCACCATCGCAGAGTATGGCGCCTTGACATTCTCCACTTCGTTCTAAGCATCCCATCGGTTTACGTTGTGCAACCTCTCCAGATCAATAGAACGAGCACATTGCTGGGTTTTGCATGTCACTCGAGGGATCTATAATATAAGAGTGCTGATTTTTTGATTACGCATTGACGCTGGACCTCATGAAAGCTACAGGAAAACCAGATAGGCGTGGCTTGTACATTGCATCCTCCTGATCAAATAGTCACGTGATGCAAATCTCTGACATTTCAGGATCATCCGAGGTTCCATTCAGGGCAAGGATGCCATGATGAAGGAGATCTTCAATCGCGGACCCATTGCTTGCAACGTGGACGCCACTAAAATCCTCAACTACACGACCGGTATTGTCACAGCGAAGCAGCTTGACAAATCAAATTGCCGGCCACGGAGAGGTCAGCTGCTTTTGCTTAGCTTCGTCCGAGATGAAATGGCGAGGCGACGGCAGCATTGCCAGCATGATGGTGTGCTTAGCTTCTTTTACATGGAAATAGAAGGTGACAGTAGTACCAGGAGATCATGCACCACTAGTAGTGCTTTGCTCCGCGACTTGCATTTCTTGGGTGAAGCAGTCATACGGAGTACGATGACTGCAACCAAGGAGCACCGAGACTGACCACACAATTTCCGTGGTTGGATGGGGCACTGATTCGTCTTTGGGCATGTACTGGATCGTCCGGAACTCCTGGGGTGTCTTGGACAGCAATACATGTAATGCTGTAGGTGCGATGCATACAAAAAGGCAAGACTTGAGCTTGGTGCGCCTAGCCCCAGGATGTTACCATTCTCAAAGTCACCCCCTAAGGTGTAAGATGAAGGGAAACCGGTTAAACCACCACCCAGTGTCTGACTTTGATAACCCGCGGTGTGGTCCTGCCGTTGCGGCGGTTCTTCTTTGCCTAGGTGAGCCACAATCAAAACCGGGTAGATGAAGGTTCGTATGGAATGGATCCCAACCATAAACGGGTGCAGCCGCCTTTGTAATTCTTTGCATGGTTCTGGGTAGGCCATTTGAATACTGATCGGTTTTCATATTGACTCATGTGGGTGTGTGTTTCTTGGGAATCCAACCAAAAGCTCAAAAAAGACACACCCATGATTGTGTTTATTCAGGTGAGTACTGGGGTGAGCAGGGCTACTTCAGGGCGCAGAGTGGCTCTCTTGCCCTGGAGCAGGCGGAGATCCTTCCCGGGGGGGGGGGGGGGGGCAGGTGCTGCGGTGGATGGGTGGGCCAAATCCACGTGCTTCTCGCACCACGAAAGAAAAACCATGGGAATGAAACTATAAGGTTTATTTGTATTTATGTTGGGGAAGCGAAGTCTTCCAGGGTTTCTTGGGTGGTGCGAATTGGATTTCGCAACCATCCGCAGTAGGTCTCCACTCTTGCCACAAAAAAGGGTTACGTAAGGTGTAAGGCGGGACAAATTAAGGGTCCATTCACAAGGGCGCATTAGATTTTGCCCAGAAGGCTTTGCCCAACCCTGAAGGTACACAAATATGTTTGATTCTGATCATTGGGCAATATTGAGATTCCCGTGTTGAGCGATTCGGCAAAAGGACATAGAGCCGTTAGCTGACTAAGGTCATGTCATGTGGCTTCTACTTGAGACAAAGCACATACACAGAACATGTTGTGTTTTGTGAGGAGCCTGCAGTACTTGCATCAGACTCCTGATAACAACTTTGCACTCCATGCTCGTCAAGTGTTGCAAGAAAAGCAGGCGCCACTTGGCCCCTTCCCAGCCCTTTCCTCATGCGGCCGTGGGTCAAAACCGTTTTGGGATCCCCATTTTGGGGTAGGTGCACCACCCATGTTAGTCTATTTTGGTGGGGATTGAAATGTTCACTGGGGGCACGATTTGGATTTTGACCCATGGCCATGCCAGGATGGCTGCACCTGGGCTACGCCCAAGGATTTCACCGCTCCGGAGCGCCACAACCAGCCACTCGGCTAGGAGGGCAGAACTCGGGAAACATGGACACCAACATGGCTTTATTGGTAAATGGAACCAAAGACTAGAACCTGCGGTTTGCCCTTGCTCTTTAATTTTCAGCTGCACCCATGCTCTTGTAGGGTTAATGGGAAACCCTCCTCAACCACCAAACCACCGGCTCCAAACCAACAATTAGAGGGAGAAGTTTGGTTACAAGAAGCCTCGTGAATTTGTGATTGTTCATTGGTAGCGGCGGGGGGGGGGGAGGGGAGGGTTTGCTCGTTCAACGCCTGACTTAACTTGCTTCAGTAGGGAATGACCCAAGGTTTTGGGAACGAACCCAGGCCCTGAAAAGGAAACATAGGGGATGATTCATAGCTGTCATTCCCTCATTTTTTTCCCTGCTGAGCACCAGCAAGTTATGGGGGTGCGAAGATCCAATGTTCAACCCAGAGTGACGTGCTGCAGGTTTCACTGCTACGAGGACTGATCTTCGAGAAAATTCGGCAAAATGCCATACTCCCACCAAGCGGCTTTTGCAGCCACATGGAAATACATTGTGCCTGACCGCTTCCCTGAGTTAGAGCTTCCATTTTGAGAAGCCTCAAAACAGACTGGTTGAATTCCTTCGGGGTTCGCGCCAGAAGCTGGACACGCAAATGTTTGCAACCCTTCTGCAATGCTGGCGTTCTCTCCGTTCTCTTCCTGTGCAGGACGGCTCCAACTGCAAGGCAGAGGTGGAAGAGCTGCTCGTATGAGCACAGCGCGTTTGAAGGCGACCTCAGAGTCCCCAGGAGTTCGGAGGTTTGTTCAATCCTGTTGATTGCATGTGTCTTTTTTTTTGTGGCACCCTTGGTGAGTGAGAATCGCCATTTTTGATCTGGGGACTCTGAATCCAAGTTTGCCATGGGAAGCCCTACTTGGGGGCTTTCGGAGCCAGATGCCCATCTGATGCCATCCCCACAGCGAAGGATGTTGGATGTGCCCAGACTCAGTCGCAGACTATGCGAAGCCTCAGCTGCCGCGGAAAGCGCGCTTGAGTTTGGGGGGGCTGGAAAATCGCCTAGTTTCAACCAGTCCGGACGAAATATGCGGTAGAGTATGCGCAGTTTGGGAGGGACATTGGCGGAACTTATGAAATATCCCACACAAATCAGGGGACTTGCTAGAGTGATACATATTTCAAAAATTGTTCAAATGCTGATGAATATCGATCGCAAACACTGAAAGCATGCGTGCACGCTTCATCTGCTTGATTCCATGGTTGGCCCAATTGTTGGGCCTGACTTGAGAGGAATCAACTTAGCGCAAATTGGCCATGGGTCAAAACGCAAATTGGCCATGGGTCAAAATCCAAAGCCCCCAGTGAACATCCCAATCCAACCACTAAAATAGGTTCCAAAATGGGTGGTGAATTCACCTACCCACCAAAATGAAATCCCAAAACGGTTTTGACAACCACCGCCGATTCGGTTTTTCGCATACTTTGTCGCACCAAACTCCCGAGCTGTGGTTCTTGGCCGCTAGGAGCAGCATGCAAGCTGCTGGGAAGAGGCGGGGCCAGACGGAAGCCCTCCACACGGAAACTGCAGACCTGAACCCGACCCTAGTGAAGCCTAGAGTGAAGCCTACAGAGGGACAAGAATACTCAAGACGGGCTCAACCCTGGTTTTTTTTTCTTCGGGAAATCGTGTGCAAGCTCACTTTTCTTGCTGGTGCGATAGGCAGGGAATGAGAAATGGAATGCCCCCTATAAACCATCTATGGTTTCCTTTCAGAAGACCTCTGGGTTCATTCCATTTCTCATTCCCTTCTAAGCACCAGCAAGTTGTTCAATCCGCTCACTTGGGTGTGGGTCAAAAGTAAATGAATTATCAGGATTTGGACCCCTGGTTTTTTATTGCTGGGTTCCATTTGCCAGGGCAAGCCATTTTGGGGCTATCCTATTTTTGACCCACAACTCGTTGAAATCCCGTGGGAAGCTTTGAGCTGTGATTGTTGCTTCGTCGATCCTTTTTTCGGTCCGCGAGCTGAAGCTCTCGACTGGACACGACAACCCCCTGCAACAGAGGGCACCGGTCAGCCCAGCCGGAACATTTGGGTTTCTGATACTGAACGCCTTTTGACAAGCTTTTTTTTGATTTAAATAGAAGCCGCATTGTGTTGTGTGGTTATATTATCCACGCCTTTTTTACCAGCGTGTTTTGTTTTCCTTACTGCATTGTGTTGTGTTTTATTGCAGTATTGTTGAAATAAGCACATTGACATGTTATAAAACAAATACAACCCTTGTTATGTATTGGGTTGTTTAACAAGGACACGGCGCATGTTTTCTCAGTCTCAGTCTCTGATCGGAGTCGCTGGCCAGGCGGTGAGCTTTTGGGCCGTGAGCTTTGCCCATGAGCTGGCGCACTTCGAATCACCGTTGCACGACAGGCGCCCAAAGCCCGGCAAAGCTGGTGCTCTCGTCGAATATGGGGTTGTGTTCTTTTTTTTTTGGACCCACCAAAATGGTGGTTTCCTTTTGGTTTCCCTTCAAAAGAGGGTACCCTCAACAAAAGACAGACCCATGTACTGATGGGATGTGTTCGCACTGAAAGTCACAAGATGGCAGGTTTGAAATCGGACACGAGAGCCGCACACCGCAGACTTTGACCATGTCGGAGGACAAATTATGTGCCCAGTTGAACTGCGTAGTTGCCCAGTGAGCTCCAACATGGCAAGGAGAATAAGCAGACTGTGATGGGACCTCTGTTCCACATTTGGGGGTCAAAATTCGACTACCAAGGGACCGCAGGTTTTAGTCAATGTTTCCATTTACCAGGGTTCCATTTTGGGTACCTATGTTTGACCCACAGCCATCTGCAAAGTCTGGGCTGCAACGTGCCTGAGTCAACTGTCTTTGGAGTACCGGGCGGTTTCCTGTAAACCGCTGCATGAGCCAGATGGCCAGGCAGGTGCTTTTCAATACCCCCTTCGAAGCAGAAACATGCGTTTAATGGGAGTATCACGCGTGCAGCTCTTGGTGCTCATTTGGGGAAGTTTTGCCTAAGATGCCGAAAGCGTCCTGCAAAATGCTGGTGGGTTATGAACTACAAGGTGCCTGGGAGCAAGCTATTGCCACGCCTCCTCGCGTGAAAGAATAGGACAAGTTGCAGAGAAACCAATTTGCACCTCGTCCCAGCCCTTGCGGCCATCATGATGTTCCAACATTTTACGATCGCCTTCAGTTGGTTTGATCAGCTCCCCAGCAGGTGCCTCAGTGTTAGGCCTAGAAAGCAGGGGCTTAAAACATCAACACCTTCAAAGAAGGCAAAGCAAAGAAGCCTCCAAATGGTTGGCCAGCATCAAACAACCAACAAAAAGTCAAGCAATGGCAGTTGAAAAGAGATGAAAGAAGACCAAGCATGAACAGACTAGGCTGCTTTCTTTGCTCCTTGCAGGGTTTCACTTCTTGACCACCCCTTTGGGGGTAATGAACTATCCCTGGGTTTAAGTCGACCTTGGGGTATTCAACAAGGGAACTCTGGTTCCTTGCGCTGGACAGGCAACATGGCCGTGCGATGGAGATGTCGCAGCGTGCGGTGCTACCTGGGCTGCCGCCGCTCCGACATGCTTTGAGCGAGCCGGCGACGCAGCAGAAGATTCGCATGGAACCGTTCGACGTAAAGGGGCGGGAGTGCTGATTTGAACCATTTTCCTTTTTAAGGGACCTAGGTTGTTGTGTTGTTTGTTGGTGCGAGGGTACTTGTTGTTTATTTGTTTACCATGACCACGCCACATGTAAAGAGCGTGTGCAACAACACCTAAGCATTTGCCAGGCTACCAGTAGTTGTTTTTTGAGTTCTATGAATCGATTGTTCGTGTTCCATATGTAATTGCCCAAATGAGGTGAACCATTTGTTGCTGGTGTTTTGCTGAGGATGTGTTTGTTTTGCTGAGGCAGCATATGGCGCAAACTGTCCGACGGGTAAACACAAACCCATGGAGACTGTCACTTGTTACTTGTTTCGTTGGATTGTGCTGTTTCAAATGTGGTGGCTTAGAATTCATCACATTGACTTGCTGGTCCTGCTCAAATTCAACGTTTGGGCCGTGGGGTTACATCGTCAGTTGTTTTCTTGCGGCATTTTTGTGTTTGCGTGCACGGCATCCCGTCGCGTCAGTATTACAGTTTGTGTAGATGCCAGCTGTTCCGAATCTTACCACACCCTCTTTGGGTTGGTTGGGTTGATCCAAGTCTTTTCTTGCTGGCGCTCAGCAGGGGATGAGAAATGGAATGACCATTATAACCATAGAAACTGGTGGTTTCCTGTAAGGGAATCCCCTGCCGGTTCATGCCCACATTCCCTTGCTGGTGCTCAGTGGGGAATGAGGGAATGAACCCGAAACCACCAGTTGGATGGTTTATGAGGATCATTCCATTTCTCATTCCCTGCCTGTCGCACCTTCATTCGGGAATTCCAAAACGGTTCATGCCCACATTCTCTACCTATCGCACCAGCAAGATAAATGACGCGCAACTAAACCCCAAGATACCAGCCTTGTTTGATGGGTTGCAATCGAACACCTCCACCCCATTTGTTTTTGTTTGTTTCTTTTTTGGGGGGGGGGCGGGTGTGACCGTTTTCCGCCCGCAAAATTCGGCAGGAAGGTGCTGGCACGGCCTTGGGGTGCAGCCCGGGGCCCCAAAGTCCCGGTTACTCGCGGGAGTTGAGTCCCTGTGAACCAAGTTGCGTGTTTTGTAAAGTTTTTGGGGCCCCCCAGCCATGTGGTGAGATTGGTTTTGTTGTTTTTGTTGGTTTTTGCTTTTGTGAACGGGCGGAGTGGGGCGAGAAGTTGGGGTGACCTTCACTTTTCGTAAGTTGGTGGGTTTGCTGGTTGTGTTCCGTTCCGAAAAAGGGGGATCATTCCGGAAACGGCCAGTTGAGCTGCAGTGGCAAGTTTGGCCTATAGAGACAGGGCAGTTTGCCGCTGAGGAAATTCTGATTTGCCAGTGTCATTCACAGCTCGCTCATAGGGCGCGCCTATGTCCCAGTACGTTTTGTGGTCTACAGTTACGTGTTACCCGTCTTTGAGAGAACTATGGACAAAATCCTGCACCACCCAAGAAACCGGGAATGATGCTTCCCCTGCAAATGCCAACAGGCACTGGTTCCCCATGGTTTCCCACGGTTTCCAAGTGGTGCGAGAAGCGGATTTCGTTCATCCACAGTATGCCACTTGTCGACTCCTCGCGCATGCAAGGCCCTGGGAACCCAAAACGCCGAGCACCGGCAGTGGCGCTTGCGAATGGTGGCCGGGGAGCTCAGGGGCGCAGTTGTTCAAAGAGTGGATTTTGATTCCGATTTATAGACTGGGTTTCATCAAAATCAATATCGGAATCAACATCCACTCTTTGAACAAATGCGGCCAGTTTTTGAAAACACAGAGGGGTGAAACTGCGTCCCATTGAAACTAGTCTTTGAAGGAGAGGATAAACCCCTTGATCCCAGAACCTTGATTTGATTTAGATGAAGGAGAGGGTGAACCGATTGCTTCCAATTTGTGGACCCACTTGCCAGTAAGACTTGCATGCCAAAGACAGTCAGAGGGTCAGGATGGTTTGTCAAGGGCCAACGGCTGTTTGACCAGCGAATGTGGATGAGCTGGGCCCAGTTGATGACCAACATATGCACCGCCTGTTGAATTATTGTCATTGGTTTGGGTACGGGATGTTGATACCAGGTGTTGATTTTGACTCATGTGTCCTTGGTTCAGTGCTGGTCCAGAGACTTCATTCGTCTCTGCAGAGCCTTGCTTCTTGAGGATGGCGGGCTGATGTGACTCTGGCGGAAAAACATGCTGCATGCGAGAGCCGTTGCTTGCGTTTGCCCACGGAACGCTGCACGGGCACTTTCAACACTGAACTAAGTCTGAAATGTTCTCTCGGTGCCCAAGCCAGGTTAAGATCGCACTCCCAGTTGCTCATGCTGATGCAATGTTTTGTTTTGGTGCAGCGTAATTACTGTATTGCAGCAGCACATTCATGTGCCACCCTTCCCTCGCTTCCGCCCTGAGGGCAAAAGCAAGGCGCATGTCGAAAAAGAATTCCATGCCCCCGCCCCTATCCCCTTACAGCCAGGCGGACAAAGTTTTTTTGAAGGGGCTCCTTGGAAAAGGAGGAGGCGGCTTACTGCAATGCGGCCTCGAGCGTGCGCTTGCCGGCGGTTTCCTGGCTCAGCTCGTACCCCAGCCACCGTAGGTCGGGGCCAAAGAAAGGGGACGAGCCGCGGAGCAGAGTGTCACCCAAGAGCTTGGCCAACGCATGGCTTGGCAGTTCAAAAAGTGGCCAATCAACGTGCCAGTCAATTGGAACTTCAGGCATGCGCAACGGATCCATTCAAACCCGGCATTGGTTTTCTCAACACCGATTGCAGCCGTGCTGCCAAAACGCAGTTGGCATGGCGCAGTCTGGAGGCGCGGGGGAAAAGCTGGTGTTGCAGCTCGCTCACACATGGCTTGTTGGTTTGTTCATTCGGCACGTCAGTTTGTTAAACTTGGTAAACGCACGCAAAATACCAAGCCACTCGATGTTGGGCTCTGGTTACTTTGGTTGCAAGGCGTGAAAGCCACGATTTGGTTTACTCGCACCACACGAATCACATGATACTGATGCGTAGGGACCTGAAATTTTCACCCTTCGGGAGGGCAGAGAACATATTTCCCTTCGACCCCAAAGGACCATTCGGTAGCTTGTCCCATTTGGTTGGGCATATCATTTGTTTCGCGGTTTTCCAACCCATCCTTTTGATCACCCCCCCTTCTGCCATGGTCGATCAGCGGCAGAACGTTCTAGCTCACAATCGACCACAGCACTAGCCTTTTGCATCCAAAAGACTGCCATTTCATGTGGACGTGCGAGAAGTACACGGGCAGGGCATTTTTTGAATTAGCACTTTTAAAAGTGCTGACCCACATGTTTAATCTCACTGGTGTTCAGGCAAGCAGCTTGCCAGCCCACACCTTTGTTTGATTGACACTGACTTGGCAGAATGCGTTCCTCACAGGCGACAGCGTGTTCATGCTGGACTGCCTCTTCCGAGTTTTTGGCCACCAAACATTGGAGGCGCGGGGGTGCACTGAGCCATGCTTGGCTTTTCGTGGCAGGGACGGCTTACAGTATCATTCGCCGCAATACATGTTTTCCGGCAGCCATCCATGTTGCTGCTTGGCTTGTGGCATGGCACCGCTTCAACTTCCAAGGAATTCATGGTCCCAGTTTGAGGTCGATTTTGATACTATGCCGATCAGGCGAATCTTGCAGAGCTGCAGGCAGGGTGGGACAGCTGCAGCATGCACGAAACACTTGGTTCAATGTATGCATGGCAACATCTAGTTAGCTTCACCTGCTCCACGAACAAAACGACAACTGATAATCCCTTCTGCTGAACAGAGGTGGCGGCATGCCCACCATGTAGCAGCACGGAGGTCCAGGGAAGATCACTGGTTGCTTGTCAATATGGGTGTGCCACTTCATCCAGTCGAAAGAGCAGCACAGTACCTTGCAAAATGGAGTGATGGGCGTACAGGACCAAACGAAACAGACAGGTCAGGGGCAGTCAGACCCTCTTCATTCCTGGCCAGCATGTGGTTCTGCATTTGACAGCGAACAAAACAGTGACACCAACATGTTTTTTTTCCGCATGTTCGCCTATTCAGCATACCGCCTTTAGGATGTGACCCTGGTGGATGTTTGGCGCCTTTTTGGTTGTAGGGCAACCCGGATTGCAACTGGGTCAGCGTTTGGGAAAGTTAGAGAAAGGCATGTATTCCATTCAGCGCAGGTTGCCAGTAGTGGGGGGGCAGACACCAATTCGCATTCTTTTCTCAACCTGTTGGAAGATGCGGCGTAGCGCGGGCTCGCCCGTTCCATAGTCTTGCATGAAATTGCTGCTTGCATGATTAACTCACTTGTTGCCGTAGAAGGAGGAACCGATTGACAGAGAAGAGTGCTTAGAAAATCTGAGACTGATGGCATGTTGCCAGAGTCCAGGAGTGAACGCACAGAAAACCAAGGCCATAGCCCAACATAGGAGCCTTAGGCCCTAGGCCGCGAGGCGGCACGCAGCCGCGTGAGTTGGACATATGGCTGTGGTTGTCAAGAACCGTTTTGGGATCCCATTTTGGTGGGTAGGTGAATTCACCCCCCATTTTAGAACCTATTTTAGTGGTTGGATTGAATCGGGTGTTCACTGAAAATTAACCGGGCTTGGGATTTTGACCCATGGCCACATGCTGACCTTTGGCCCCCCCCCCAGCTCCAGGAAATCTCCTGGAGCTGCACCCATGGCCATGTCAAAAGCCCGGCCCCTGGCAGCGGCACCCCGGCACGCCAGGAGCGCTTCCCGTCCCTGGCAGAGGAGGCAAAGCAAATGGCGGTGGCGGAGGAGCTACGCTGGGCGGCCTGCCCGGCGAAAGAGGCGAAGTGGGAATTATGTGTGGGCCTGTGTGGGTGAATTGTATCGACCTCACAGGACCGAATTCATCCCAAATGGTGGTTGATGTGGGGAATATCCCTCCAACCACCTTATTGCAGGCTGGTGAAAGCATTCTACCTGGGGTTGATTCCTTTCCATTCTTTTCAACCATCGTTCTTTCAACAAAACAGCCGTTTTCCTATTAAGTCTGGGTGAATTCTAACGACCTCACAGGACCGAATTCACCCCAAATGGTGGTTGTTGTGGGGAATATCCCTCCAACCACCTTATTGCAGGCCGGTGAAAGCATTCTACCTGGGGTTGATTCCTTTTCCATTCTTTTCAACCATCGTTCTTTTAAAAAACCGGCGGTGTCCAACCTGGGTTTTTGAGGGTTTCCTGAAAAGATTCGGATCCCTGGAAAGAATGGGGAAGGTACCCCTAGAATTATGTCGTATTCCAAGCAACACTCGAAATCCGCGCGCATCCTTGCTTTCATGGTCAAGCGCTCAACGTGTCAAAAATCGGGTTGCTGCTGTTGGGCCACTTGTAGCACCCGTTCGCCGAGGTTTGCAGGAATCAGATGGTGCCAGCCTACTACAATCCTGCAAGGTTCCTTCTAAGACTTGCCCTATGATTGGTAAAAAACAAATGCCATGCGACTTGGTATGTTTTGTTTGAGACCGCAACAGCCTATGGGCTTTGCAACAATTGAGTCTACATCAGATTGGTTGAAGTGTCATGTTGTGATCAATGGCGACTGGGTAAGATGCATGGTTTTTTTTTGCTGTTTCACTCGACAGCTATCATTCACAGTGTCGCCAACCCGGTTTGTATGATGCATGCCGTCAGGTTTTGAGCTGCACCAGCTAGACCGCTCGAGATACTAACATGCCGCTGATGTGTAATAGGGGATGTGGTTGTTGGATATGAATCCACCTAAATGATGTCCACCAAAGCGCCCCCAATGAAAACCAAAAAACATATTTAGACTATTCAGATAGAAATCAATGGTCACACCGTTACTCCAAAGGCCGATCACGTTTCATTCCCTCCCTGTCGTTAGGCGCCACCATCGAAGCGACGCTGGGACCTGGCCAACATGCTCATGGCACATACTAGACAGGCGGATCGGCGGGCACGGCAGTTCCGGCAGTTCCGGCGCGAATGCTACATTGCTGTGGGTCAAAACCAATGGGATCCCATGTTGGGACAGGTGCACCACCCATTTTAGTGTATTTTAGTGGGGATTGGGATGTTCATTGGGGGAACGGGGTTTTGACCCATGGCCATATACTGTGGATGGTTGCGAAATCCACTTGGAAACCATGGGACACCATCGGTTGCTGGTATGTTGTGGGGGCATCATCATTCCAGAGTGTCTTAGGCGGTGCGAAACGGATTTCGTCCATCCACAGTATGTTGGGGGAAAGACGCGGCTTCGGAACCTGGGAGAATTCATGTCATGCATTTTTGCTTTAGGCATAGGGCTCAGAATGTTCAAGAGCTAGGGCAAACCGCAGGTATCAGTCTTTTCCATTGACCAAGCCAGTTTGGTTACCCATTGTTGAACCACAGCCAGAGCTCTGGCAATCCTTCTGGTGCGCGAAGCATTCCCGGCGGAAATCCGATCATTTGGAACCCATGCAATGGCCACAAGAGAATTGTCCAGTTGATTTGCCCATGTGTCAAAATTAGGGTCCCTCCAAGCCTGTGCAGTGACACCAAACTACACTTTTACCAAGTAGAAGAGCAGCTAAGGTGTAGAAATACTATCAACATTTGGATTCAAAGGTGAACCTTTCCCTTAGATCGTCATTTGGGGACTTCAAAATGAGAACACCTACGCGTCTACCCATTGAATTTGGGTTGTGTTTATTTTGGGTCTCCCTTCGACATATTTGGTATGGGTCAAATTGATCCACCAGACGGCAGGTTTTAGTCCCTGTTTCCATTTACCAGGGTTCCAGTTTCGGGGTACCCTATGTTTGACCCACAGCCATATTTGGCCACCAAAACCCTTGTCAGACCCCATCCGCGAGGTTTGGGTGCTCAGGGACCTGCTGCACCATGCACTGCGGCGCAGGGGGAAGCCGCTGAAAAGGGACCGGCCCACTTCGCCCGTGGAGAGGCGGAAGGGCGGACGGGCATCATAGGCTGTTGGCTGTTGGGGTCAACATGGCCGTGGGTCAACACCAATGGTACCATTTTGGGGTAGGTGATTGGGATGTTCACTGGGGGTACGGGGTTTTGACCCATGGCCACATACTGTGGATGGACGAAATCCAGAAATCGCACCACTTAAGAATCCCTGGAATGATGATTTCCCTGTACATACCGATCAACAATGGTGTCCCATGTTTTCCAAGTGGTGCAGGATTTGTCCATCCACAGTATGTACAATATCCCTCCTGCCCTCCCTTCAAGCGGTGTTGAATGTTGCATGCCTACCCAGCAGTATGCCTGATAAACATTGCAACTACCAGTGTTTTGAGCTGTGTTTCCTCAGCGCATGGCTTCTTGCATAGAGTGCTTGGAAATATAGAATTGACACTCGAAAGCAGATTCCGTTTCGGTGTCCAAAACGCACAAAAAACACAATGCCGATTCCGATTCTGGCGCGGCAGATATGTCTTGCGATGGTTCTTCAAATTCTGACCCGTGCGCTTTTCCAGTTCTGGCTGGGGTTGGGAGCATTGTTTATGTTTAGGGCCTATCGAAAATAGGCAGCTCAGCAGTTTAATGCCTTTTCTTTAAATTCAGGCCTGGAGCATGTCCTTCTGAGTTACCTCGGAACGCAAATGCTCATGGCTCATGATGAGGCATTTGTCTATTCCGGCTCATCTCCTTTTGAAACTCTAGTTGGCAAGTCATCTGTTTGAGGCGCTTGCTTCAAACTTGGAAGCAGATGACGCATCCTCTTGAGTTTGAGAGGCAGCGAGAGCTGAAATGCGGACCTGGGGGGAGGAGCATATGTAATGTGTTACTTTCTCGTATATATATATATACATACAGTATGTACTGCCCTGGACAACCAACCAAGTATACGTATATATATATATGACAGTGTGTATACATAGAGATTTATCAAGTAAATATGTTCTAGTTGTTGATGGTTGAGGTATAAGTTGCTGTCGCTGGGGCTGCTGGGGCTTTGGTTCGGGAACTAGCATGACGTCGTGACTCGGCCGAACTTTCCAGGGCACCCCAGCAAGGGTTGACCTTGTGAACGTCTTGTCGGGTGTGGATACTTAAGTTGCCCGAACTTGCATGTTAAGTTGTCTCAAGCTTGGGCCCTCCAGCTGGCCGTTTCATGTTGCAGTCCCTGAGTCAAAACACGCACACGCACACACGCACACCCACCCGCACACCCACACACACACCACACACGAGCGCGCGCGCACGCGCACACGCACACACGCACACCCACCCGCACACCCACACACACACCACACACGAGCGCGCGCGCACGCGCGCACACACACACACAGCATCACTGCGTTTTTATGGAGATGGTTCTCTTTCAATGCGAATTCCCTAGAAGGTTCCAAATGCCACATAGCAAGGAAGCCACGTTGTCGTTTTTCTCCGAAGACCCCATTTAAAACCTTGCGTTCCTTCCAAGGGTAGAGGTTGCCTCTTTTGACGCCCACCCAAAATGCGGGTATTTGCTGGCTTTCCCTTCAAACAAAAGAGCAGCACCCAGCTGAAACACAAACCCATTTTATGGACAATTGGAAACACGTACCCATTTTATGGACATTGTGCTGCTTCATTTCGCAATGTTTGGCCTTCGGCCTCTGCAAACAGTCGATCTGGACACGCACACGATTTATCCCAGCCAAGTCATACCCGTTTTTCGAAGAGGGTTCCCTTTGAAATCAACTAACAACAAACTCGGTGCCCTTTTGTCCCACGACCACTGGGGTCTTGAAGTCTTGGGGGTTTGCCTTGGCTCTAAACGTGAAGCGCTTTTGCAGCTGTTTGCCCGCTACCTCCTTCGAGGACATGCAAGTGCATGTATCTTTGCCGAGTGGAAAAAGCTTCTCCATTGAACTGCCTTCGCCTGAGTCGAGGGTCAATGACTTGAAGGCTGAGGCACAGCGGCTGTTCCAGCGCCGCTTTCTATGGTTTGCCTTTGGCGGTCAGCCGCTAGACCCGTCAGCTACTTTGAGGGAAGTCGGCCTGCGAGATGGGGACATGATTGATGCCATCGTGCAGCCCGTCATGCTGGCTTCCACTCAAAGAGCATTTGCACTGTTTGTTGCAGGGGAGAAGGCACTGACCTGGGGCCCCACTGACTTTGGCGGCGGAGGCAACAAACGGACGCAAAGACAGTTGACCCGTGTCCAGCAAATCCAAGCAACTGAGCGTGCGTTTGCTGCCATCCTTGATGACGGCTGTGTGGTGACTTGGGGCGATGTCGAGTTTGGCGCTGACAGCACCCAGGTGCAAGAGCATCTGATCAACGTTGTGCAGATCCAAGCAAATGAGGTTGCTTTTGCTGCCATCCGGCAAGATGGGTCAGTGGTGACTTGGGGCACAGACTGTCGTGGTGCCAGCGGAGTGCGAGAAAAGTTGGTGCGGGTCCAGCACATCCAGGCAACGAACAAAGCTTTCGCGGCCATTCTGGACGACGGTTCTGTGGTGACTTGGGGTAGTAAGTGGTATGGTGGTGACAGTAGCCAGGTGCAAGAGCAGCTGGTGCGGGTTCGGCAGATCCAAGCAGCTGGGAGCTCATTTGCGGCCCTGCGAGAAGACGGCTCTGTCGTGACTTGGGGCAATGCTGACAATGGCGGTGACAGCAGCCATGTTCAAGAGCAGTTGGTGCGGGTGCAGCAGATCCAAGCAACGTGGGCCGCTTTTGCTGCCATTCTGGATGACGGCTCTGTTGTCACCTGGGGGGCTCCGCGATCGGGCGGTGACAGTAGCCAAGTGCGAGAGCAGCTGGTCCAGGTCCTGCAGATCCAAGCAACTCAAACTGCTTTTGCAGCAGTTCGAAAGGACGGCTCTGTGGTGACATGGGGCCATTTCAGCAGTGGTGGTGTCAGCAGCGAGGTGCGAGAGCAGTTGGTGGGCGTTCAGCAGGTCTGCGCAGCCATTTATGCTTTCGCTGCAATGCTGGACGATGGCCGTGTGGTGACTTGGGGCCATCCTGAAGATGGTGGTGACAGCGCGCAGGTGCGAGAGCAGCTGGTGCGAGTCCGTCGCATCCAAGCAACTGACGGCGCTTTTGCTGCCATCCGGGACGATGGCTCTGTCGTGACTTGGGGCCATCCGAAATCTGGCGGCGACAGCAGCCATGTGCAGGAGCAGTTGATCAATGTTCAGCAGGTCCAAGCGACTGGAGGCGCTTTTGCAGCCATCCGGGAAGACGGGTTTGTGGTGACTTGGGGCGATCCAAACTTTGGCGGTGATTGCAGTTCGATTCAGGCAGATCTTGATTGGACATTTCCCAAAGGCAGCGATCACGGCGCAGTGAAACAGCGAGACAGAGTCAAAGCTCGGGATCCCAAAGAAGGCTGCCCAAAACCGTGTACAAACACCAACAGGGCAATCATGTATTTGAACTGTTCCCCTAACCTTCATCTACCGGGTTTTGATCTGGGCCCAAACAAGTGCAGCGGCGGAGGGTTCAAGTACCCGTGGAGGATGGCTTTGGCTATTTTTTGGGAGTACAAAGGGGTGTTGTGGCACCTCCTTCCTTTGAGGGTGTTCCTTCACAGACTGAGGAGTGGGCAACTTGCTACGCTTCATGGGGCATTGTTCTCGTTTTGAGTGCAGCTAGGCTGAGACACAGATGTGGCCGATACAGTCCAAGCTCCCGGCAGAATAATGCGCCAGAAAATCGGCGTCTGACAAGTAAAGCCGAACTGCGAAGGGTCTGGCTCTGAACCGAAGCGATTTTGAGGTAGCCCTTTGCCCGCTTTCCACTTTGCCAGCTGCGCTTGCGACCATGCGGGTGCATGTGCACTTGCCGAGTGGAAAGGGTTTTTCCACTGCGCTGCTGCCGGAGTCGAGCATCCGCGAATTGAATTCCGAGGCACAACGACAGTTCCATCGCCGCATTTTGAGGCTTGCTTTTCGAGGGAAGCCGCTAGATCCATCCTGTACTCTGTGTGAAGTTGGTGTGCAAGATGGGGACATGATTCATGCCATCGTGCAGCCCGTCAAGCTGGCGTCCACTCACAGGGCATTTGCCCTGTATGCAGAGGCGCAGCGTTGACATGGGGCAATCCGAACTATGGCGGTGACAGCAGCCAAGTGCAAAAGCGGTTGGCGAGCAAATCCAAGCAACCGGAGATGTTTTTGCTGCTACTCTTGACGACGGATCTGTGGTGACTTGGGGTGATCCGGCTTATGGCGGTGACAGCAACCATGTGCCAAAGCAATTGGTAAGTGTCCAGCAGATCCAATCACACACACACACACACAGACACACACACACACACACACAGACACACACACACACAGACACACACACACACACACACACACACCCACCCACCCACCCACCCACCCACCCACCCACCCACCCACCCACCCACCCACCCACCACGCACGCACGCACGCACGCACGCACGCACGCACGCACGCACGCACGCACGCACGCACGCACGCACGCACCCACGCACCACCCACGCACGCACCCACGCACCCACGCACCACGCACCCACGCACCCACGCACCCACGCACCCACGCACCCACGCACCCACGCACCCACGCACCCACGCACCCACACCCACGCACCCACGCACGCACGCACGCACGCACCCACGCACGCACGCACACGCACGCCCACGCACCCACGCACCACGCACGCACGCACCCACGCACGCACGCACGCACGCACGCACGCACGCACGCACGCACGCACGCACGCACGCACGCACGCACGCACGCACGCACGCACGCACGCACGCACGCGCACGCACGCACGCACGCACGCACGCACGCACTCCGCACGCACGCCGCACGCACGCACGCCACGACACACACGCACGCACACACACACCACACACACACACACACACACACACACACACACACACACACACACACACACACACACACACACACACACACGCCCACACACGCCACACCCCACCCGCCCACCGCCCGCCGCCCGCCCGCCCCACCCGCCCCCGCCCACCTGCCCACGCGCCCACGCGCACAGACGCACAGCACACACACGCACAGACACAGACACAGACACAGACACAGACACAGACACAGACACAGACACAGACACAGACACAGACACAGACACAGGCACAGGCACAGGCACAGGCACAGGCACAGGCACAGGCACAGACACAGGCACAGGCACAGGCACAGGCACAGACACAGACACAGACACAGACACACATACACACACACACAAATGCTGCATGTCGCTCAAGCGCAGGCAAGACAGGCTCGAGGACTTTTTCGCCACCCTGAAGCAGAGCCCGCGCAAGGTCTACCCAGAAGGCAGGGCAAAATCGAAAAGTGTGTGAGGCCCCTTCCTCAAAAATCCTCAAAGAAATACATGCAGAAGCTAATGAGCGGGTTTGTGTCAAATGCTCAGAGGTTGTTGTTTTAAGTGTTTTCTCAAAAATGTTCGAGTCCGTGCATGTCAGTGCCAAGTGTGGGCTTCAGGTCACCAGCCTTTGATCATGGACAAGTTCTGGGAGTCGTTGGAGGCGATGTGTCGAGCTCGTGTGATGCCACATGGCTAGCCGAAGATGGCATGTGTCAAAAGAGGGGCACCGACCCCAAAGTGGCGATGGGTTCGGCTGAAGTCCAAGATTTGGCAGGAGTCCTCGATGGCCACCACAGCTCCCAGCTGCTGGAAGGATCGAGCCAGCCGAAGCCGCGGCTTGGAGAAATGGTTTGGAACTGAATTTTCTGGTGCTCGGTAAGGAATGTGGGAATGAACTCAGGGATTCCCCCAAAGGAAACTGCCAGTTGGATGGTTACAAGGGTCATTCCCTCATTCCCTGCTTTAAGGCATCCTCATTCCGAAGCTCTCTTTTCCCTAACAGGTTCAAGCCAAAACCCGCGCACGGCACAACCTAACCCAGGGTCAGGTGGCGCAGGATGTTTTGCAGAGGGTTGCCGCATGGATCGCTTCCTGCTGGCCGAGGCTGCTCGGCGACAGCAAGCACCTGGGATAGCCATTGGTCCCAGCACATGCCAGAGGAGCAGTTGGAGGCAAGCGACTCGTGATGGATCACTCTCAGATCTTGGAAGTATGTGTTGCTTTGTCGTTGAGCCCATTGATTAGGAGGAGTGACAGGACGTGCAGTGATGCCACAATTCCCCCAGTAGCGAGATATTGCCTGATGTTCTTGCTTAATAATGAACTTGGCTGTAATTCAGGCGTGTTCAAAAAATCAAGAGAATAGAAGTCCTGATGTTTTTTGTAAAGGACCTGTGCAACCACTTAGTTTTCAGCCACAAATGCGCAGTGTTCCATGCTTGAGGACATCTCCATGAACACAAGCCTTCCGCGGAAGAAGTCCACAGGCGCTGGAAGAGCGCGAGAAAGAGAGCGAGAGACAGCGAGACAATGGGAAAGAGAAACACAAAAGCAAAGCAAAATAACAGAGGTGCAAAGTTTTCAAGGCCGGCCGGAAACCATTTGGGCATACCTTTCCGTTCGGTAGATTAAAGTGGGGCCATGATCTGAAGAGCTTGCGCATTGTGAGCTCATGTGTTGTCTCTTGTGCTTCTGCTCACGCTGGTTGCTTCGTCATTTGGCCAGGTGGAATCGTTCTACCACCAGTGGTACAGACGCCACCATCGGGTGGGTCTGTTGCAGCCTGGCCGGATGGAGTAGGAGCCAAAAAACACTTTCAATGGCAAACCCATGTTTGTTTGCAGGGCTGCGGTTGTTGCACATTCACGCTTCATCCAGCCAGCTCCACGTGATGCATTGGGTGCCAGGACGATAAGGATGGTCATCATGTTTGTCGCTGTTCATGTGAAAGCTGGCAGGCAAAGCGATGACAGTTCCGAGCGACAACTTTCTTAGTAGGGTTCTTGCCACTGAAGGCTTTCAGCCTCAGTCTGGGCCCGGTACAACGTGGGCCCCTGCGAATATGTCGATTGCATGGTAAGTGCCAGGGCTGATTTTGGATTTGGACCCCTTCAACCTTGCCGAAAGTATCCGAAAGTTCTCCGAGCAGTGCTCGGGATGGTGAGGCGGTCACAGCCGCCACACAGAAGTTCAACTACCTGGAGCTGTTTCCAGACCTTGGGAACAGAAAGCCGCAGCCAACCAGGCACGGCACACCTGGAAATATCAGCTCTGCAGCAAAAGAAAGGCCAAAGGAAGTGGAGGTTGGGCAAGGATGTGGGCGGCTTGTGGGCAGTTTACTTGGGCTATTGATGACGTGGCATAGGTCAAAATTGAGGTACCAGGATATGGACCGCAGGTTTTAGTCCATGTTTCCATTTACCATTTTGGGTTTACCCTATTTTGACCCATACCCATGTGGCCTTTTTCGGCGTTTTTGCAGGCGCTTGCACTTCACGGAGGTGGAAGGTGGCTCAAAGTCTGACTGGACAATTGACGAAGTCTTGGTCCATTTGAAGACACCGGAGAAAGAGACACTTTGCGGCAGTTGGATGCGTTCCAAGGCGTGAGGAGTGGCTGATTTTGTAGTGGAGGGGTATTTATTTTAGGATGTTTTTTTTGTTTCCTCTTTTTTTTTGATTTGTTTTTTCGCTTTTGGCTTCTTGGCTTCTTGGCTTCTTGGCTTTTTGGCTTCTTGGCTTTTGGCTTCTTGGCTTCTTGGCTTTTTGGCTTCTTGGCTTCTTGGCTTTTCGGCTTCTTGGCTTCTTAGCTTTTTGGCTTCTCAGCTTCTGCCTTTCGCATCCTCTGCATTCCCAGTTCCTCTTTGGCAGGTGGCATTTTGGCTTTTGCGGCTTTTCGCTGGTTTATGCGGCTTTTGGCGGTTTTAGCTTTTTGCATCCTCTGCTTTCCCAGTTCCTGTCCGGGCTGTTTGGCTGTTGCACCCTTTCATGTGGCTTCCCGCATCATCAGCATCACCAGTTCCTCCCTATTTTAATCATCACTAGTGGGGGGGGCTGTCGGAAGAAGTGATGATTCAAGTAGGGGTGCAATGATTCAAGAAAGGGTGCGATAGAATTTCAAAGGCAGCGGGAGGGTTGGCGGGGGTGGCTTCCCCTATGATGTTCGAAGAAGTACATACATACAGACATACATGGATTACACAGAATACCTAGAATGTCGTATTTTGCAGCATTTTCTCGCGAAATTGGACGCTCGAAAAGTGATGATTGAACTAGGGGGGCAATTCAATCTCTGCAAGATAAATCCAAAAAGTAGCGGCGGCCCCCCATGATGTTTGAAGAAGTGTTGATTCAAATAGGGGTGCAATTACTCTGCAAGCAATCTAAACAGTAGCGAGATTTAATTAATTGCGCCCCTAGTTGAATCATCAATTCTTTGAACATCATGGGGGGGGCTGCCGCCCCCCAACCCCCCCGCTACTTTTTAGTTTTTTGTTTTTTTTTGTTTTTACAGGGATTGAAATGCCCTCCTTTTTGAATCATCATTTTTTTGACCCCGTCTACTTTTTTGATTTTGCTACCCACGATTTGTTGGTGATGCTAGGGATGTTGGTCGGACATGCGGGGGATGTTGAAAACGATGCTGGGGATGTTGACGGGCTTGTGTAAACTGCGCCAATTTCGCGAGAAAATGCAGTAAAATACGACATTTTACTGGCCCGGACGAAGAACGGGGAAAAAATCCTTCTGTGTCGGAATCCAGCAGTTTCCGGCTTGGCCTTGTACATCATGTAGCCCCCTGAAAAGTCGTCGCTGTATGCCCCACAGCCTGAAATATCCTGAGGGAGAGCGTGGCGGCGCCCTCCGAGCTCAGCGAGGTATTTGACTCCGATGGTTGGGTGAGACGTCTTACCACCCTGCATGGGGTGTCAAATTGGTACCCAAAAAAAAGGCTCAAAGAAAAGCACGGCACAAATTTACAAGCCTTGGAGGGTGCAGGTACTTGTTTACTTGTTTGCTTCTGAAAAATGCAGATCTGGCGCTTGATAAGCCCCATCATGACAACACGCCGAGTTAGAAGTTCCTTCGGCGATGCGCGTTTGACACATGCCGGGAAGCAACATGATTTTGCACGGAAGCAAGAACAGGACGAAGGCCTACTGCATCCTATTGCCATGTTGCTGGAAGGCGCGGCGTTTGCTGCAACTCGATGAGAAGCCATCTCGTCGAAACTCAATGAGGTGCGGGTGGCTGTTTGTTCACTGCATCCTGGTGAAGCTCGGTCGGTCACCCGGCCGAGCAGTCGGCCGGGTGGTCGTGAAGCAATCTGAGAACCACCCTTGGCCCACACCAAACCTACCTTAGCTTCTCTGTAGCTTCCCGCGTGCAGCTTCCTGCAGGCAAAACATGGGTTTCGCGAAGAATGTCAGCACTTTGCATTCAACATATTCAAAGTAGCTTCCTGCCGATGGAACATTTGCTTCCGATACGAAGGTCGGCTTCCTTCCAGCTTTCCGCACAAGATATCTTGAGCACCATTTGGCAAGTTGGATGTGAGCGTACTGCTGTCTACCTCGTTGGAAGAGTTCTGCTAACTTTCCCTCGCGCAGACTAGCCCTGCAGGTCAATGTCCATATCTATGTCCGACTCGCAGCTGGTGGCATGTCTGCAATTTGCAATGGTTTGAGGTCGCCAGTGTTGATCAGAGTGACCTTTCGAATTTGACGATTCAGCGTGCGGAGTCCTTTGGAGGAACTCACCGGAATCTGAGGTGTCAACTCTGAAGACCACAAGCAAGCCAGCCCCACCTGTCAAGAAGGCTGCCTTTGGCAAGCCGCAAGGCGCAATACCAAACGGACATGGTCCGTCAATTCGGTTGCATTTCCACAAATTTCCATGCGTCGAGTTTCAATCACATGTACTCGGCTTGAGTCTTGTGATCAGTACTTTGACAATGCTTGAAGCCGGCGGTTTTTTGTGGTGTATATATAATTGGTACCCAAACCCCCCCCAAAGAAAAAACAAGCTCAAAAACGGGGGGGAGAAGCTGAAAAATCGAAGAAAAACATAGTTTTCTGGAAGAGAAAACCAAGGTCCTGTGGAAGTGAAAGAAACCAAGATGTTCTGGTGGAAGGGCACACCAGCAAAACCAGAAAAACCAAAAAAGCAGGGGCCTCATGAAGAAGGGCCCCAAACCAGAAAAACCAGAAAAAAAACAAAACCTGGGTTTGTTGTTTTTTGTTGTTTGAAGGGATAGATCTGAACAACCCAACAAAACTCAGGGAAAACCAAGCAACAGAACACGGCAAAAACCACCATGACCAAACGCATTTGGCAAAAACCGACACTTCTCTTCTGGGTTGTGTTTTGTTGCTTTCTCGAGTTGTGTTTCTTGGCATATCCATAATTTGGACAGGATTGGTGCTGCAGCCTTCTTGGAGCCACAGTGAACGGGTGTGACCAGTGAACTAGATGTTTGTTGAGTTGGAATTCAACACTCCTTTTCAAGCTCCTGATGCAGCTCTTTTGAAGGCTTTTCAATGAAGGCTCCTGGTCCAGCTCCTTTTCACACTCTTTAGGCTCTTTGTACAAGGCTCCGTATAAAACTCCTCATAAGGCTCCTGTAAAGCTGCTTGTCGGACTCCTGTTGAAGCTCCTTATACAGCTTTTCTATGTCATGGCTCCGTATAAGGATCGCAGTATAAAGCTGCTTGCTAAGCTCCTTTGCAAGCTCACTTAGGTGCTTGTAAGACTGTTTGAATGAAGCTTCAAATAAAGCTCCTTACACTACTCATCATAAAGCCCTGTTTAAGGCTCCTTAAAGGCTCCTTGTAAAATTTCTTGCACAAATGCTTGTACAGCTCCTTTTAAGGCTCATGATGAAGCTCTTTATAAGGGTCATTGCAATTTTAAGGCCCCTTATACAGCTTATAATGCACATGTTAAATGTCAAAGTTCTTAGAAAGCTTCTTACACTCCTTGAAAAGCTGCTTGTGGGGCTCCATGTGCAGCTCCTATTAAAGCTCTGGAAAAAGAACTCCTTATAAGGCTCCTTATGCTAAATTGGACTCCAATTGGGGTTTAATCAGTTTTTAAAGGAAGAAAGTTTAGTAGGTTTCTATGTTGAATAGAATGGAAAATGAGAGTTCCTTTCCATATGTGATCTGAAACTAACATTAACTAGCAGAACATGCACATAATTTAATAGGGCACGAGTTCCATTAGACTTCTATCTTCAGTTTGAAACTTAGTAAGGCGTCCTGTCCTTGAATAGAACTTAGTAAGGGAATAGTTCGAATATATTTGCTGTGTCAATTAAATAAGACTTTAATCAACATCTAGCTAGAATGGCAATATAATTGAAGAGCAACACATGTGCAGTTGAATGTCTATTGTAACTGAGGAGTAAAGTAGGAAGTACTTTCCAAATCGGCCTTTAATCAAGAAGTAAATGGAATTTGAATGTCTATTTTGATTGCTAATTTGAGTAGGAAATCCTTACCAAACTGGACTTTAATCAAAGTTAATTGCAGTTTGGCAAGCACGCGGAAAGGTAATGGACAGTAGTGGAGCAGAATTGAAAAGGTGGAAGATGGCAAATGAGCAAATGTGCAAAGCTATGGTAGCTTTTAAAGGAGGAAGAGTGGATCATGGGTGGGGTGTGAGCATATATACATATAGCATATGCGTGGGTCCGGGGGGGGGGGTCCCGGGGGGGTGGGTGGGTAGCATACAATTATATTTGTGTGTGCGTTCTTGTTTGCAGTTGCGTTTGTGTGTGTGCGCTTGTTTTTGCAGTTGTGTTTGGGTGCGTTTGTCTTGTGTGCACTGCCAATTGGGGGGGGCCTTTCTGCTGCCATTGACAACCGTGATTGATATCTGACAGTCATGCTCAAGTTTGCTCACCTGCTCTATGCTTTGCCGTGTTTCCTGTGAATGCAAATCGCAGCTGAACCAGTAGTGAGAAGAGCTACAGGATCTCTCTCTCTCTCTCTCTACTCTCCCTCTCTCTCTGTCTCTCTCTCTTTGCAATCTTTCTCTCTTTCTCTCCAAAGCCTGGGGCTTCGCCAGGCATTGCGCAGCATCTTATGTCGCTGGGCGAGGAGGAGTTGCAAGCCCGGCTTCTGACGCGAGCCCCGGCGAAGGGCGAAATTTCTGGGGGCCCGGGCCTCGAAGTTACTTTAGGTCGGTTCCACTTTTTGACACTGGGGATGGTTGCGAAATCCTGCACCACTTTCAAGCCATAGGAAACCAGTTTGTTTGTTGGAAATCCTGCACCACCGTTCAGAAACCCTGGAATGATTCGATTCCCCTGTAAATGCCAACGAACAATGTTTTGCAATGGTTTCCAAGTGGTGCGAAATGGATTTCGTCCATCCACAGTAGGTGTCCCTTTTAAGCTAGCTTGGTTAGAAACAGATGGGTTCCACTGGTTTAGATTGGTTTTATTCCATTCACCAGGGCCATCTATTTTTCCAAAAGCACACCTATGTTTTTGACTACTAGACTTCAACACAGCGCTTCACCCAAAAGGAAACCCATGTAAAGTGGAGCCCTGGATAGAGTTGGGTCCCATGCCTAGTTGCAACATGCAAGGGCCCACTGGAGCTTGGGAGTTGTGTGCTCAGCCAGATGTGCGGTTCACGTATGACGCACCGGGTCTGACAAAACAAGTGCGGATCATGAGATTCCTTGATTTGGGGGAACGGTTGATTTTTGTTTTATTGAAAAATGTGCTCTGTATGTCTTAGGTGTGAGTGTGACATTTGGCTGCGACCCAAGGAGAACCAGACGGTTGCGATCCGTCCCCGCAACGCGTTTTTGACCGCCGGTTCCGGCGCGACTTTGCGCTGCCAGTGCTGCCGCCTGTGTCCTCTCGGCCAGGACGGGTAAGAGGAGATCAGAGCCGCTGCCAAAGAAAAAACATGAGGGGATCGTCACAAGATGGTCAAGTCCTTCAGACTCGAAAAAATTGGACATCGATCAATTGTAGGCTCGTGTTTTTTGTTTGGCTTGTATCATTTAACGGAGCAAAGCAGTATAGCTGCAGAAATCTTCCCCTGAGCTCAGTTTGACTTCCAGTTCATCCAGGAACAACCATTCGCGCTCTGATTCTTTGTGTGCAAACATGTCCAGCATTTGCGCTGGAAGCCGAGTCCGGCTGTTTCCTTCCGATACTCAGCAAGAGAGTTACTTTGCAAGGGCTGCGGGCTACGACGCACGGCCTGCCGCCCATCTTCCACAAGGCGCGGCGGATCTCAACGGACCGCAAGCGGCAAAGCGTATGTACAGCTGACTGAAGCATCGACGAGATACTGGGGATGGTTGCAAATTCCAGAAATCGCACCACCGTTCTAGAAACCCTAGAATGATGATTCCCCTGTACATACCAACAAACAATGGGTTCGCATGTTTTTGAGGTGGTGCAGGATTCTGTCCATCCACAGTAGGTTTGGAACTGCTTGGAGAGTCCTTTCGCAAACCATGTTTAGTCCCAAAAAGGTGATCACTTTTGTATTGTTCCGGCTCCAAGCTGGGCAACTGAGGTTTCAGGGTTGGTGCAAAGGGAAGCCACAGGGAAACCATTTGACCCTTGTAGTTTTGCTTCTTTGCGCAGGCGACTTTGGAAAAACCTATTTGTTAGCAGGGGAGCAGGGTTTTTTTGGGGGCTGCCTCGTCCAAACAGGGTCCCCCCCTTGGTGGCCGGGCGCCAACCGTTAGATCGTAATCTGCCGAGGAAAGAATTTAGATGGAATTTGTTGGGCTTGTCGGTTCACATTTTAGAGGCAAACATTGAAATTACATCTTGTAATATTTGAATTTACAATTGAAAAGGAGGGAATGCTGAAAGAACCCCTAATCTTGCGTCAGTTCAAAATGAACGCAGGGGCAGTTGTTTTTTTGTTTGTGCCTGGAGCATAAGATTAGTGGATCTAACTGTAGGAGGGGAGTAATCTTTTTCAGGCTTGTTGCTGGGCAAAACAGACCATGCTGTGATCATGCTTGACATCAATGCAATTGTAATTCGTGCTGTGTACCTTCAACAGTCTGGCCCTGAGCAGGAGTTGCGTTGCGTGTGGGTATTGGTCAAAATTAAACCACATTGAAAAACCGCAGGTTAAATCGTCCTGGTTTTCATCTTTGGATCCGCATGGACGAACTCCATTTCGCACCACCTAGGAAACCCTGGAATGATGATTCCCCTGTAAATACCAATGAACATGTTTTTCCTCCAAGCGGTGCGAAATGGATTTCGTCCATCCACAGGGCGCGGTAGCGAGCTAAAAAACACTTCTGCGCGCCAGGGGAGCTCTTGGGAGCCGGAGCGCGAGCACCCAAAGCGGGGGCCGCTGCAGACCACTAGCTACCTCAGGACTGCGGGGCAGGTTTTGGGCGGACCAAGGTGTGGTTTCCGTGGCGCGTGGTTGATCCGCTTAACTGCTTGGGGCATGGTCTGCCTTAAAGTTAGAACGCTTTCACAAGAGTCAAATTGGAAAGGAAATCACGGTATGTCAATTCACATGGAACCTGACATCATAAAAGTGAGGGGGTTTTGGAAGACCATTCCAATTCCCCGCTTTTTGGGGGAGGTATGTTCTATATACACCCCCCCCCCCCCGGGTCGTTTTGTTTTTCGGGGGGCTCCACCGAGTCCAACAAAAAGACCTGGGAGGACCTGCCTCAAGGATCGGGTGCTGCCGGAGCTGCTGCCATTCTTCACGGGGCACTCCAAGCGCCTGGACGCGGATGGCCGGCAGCTCTCGGCCCCTTGGCACGGCTTTCGGTTTCGGCTTTCGGCGCTGGTTGCGGAGGCTGAGCTGAGCCACTTGAGAGCAAGGCGAAGCTCTCGGGTCATAACATAAATGTCTTCGACGACTGTGCGTTGCTTGTTTTTTTTTTCCCCCTCGGGAATGATCGATATAAGGAGTTCCCCAAAAACGATGATGGCTTCTGGGGTTATTGGGAATCAAAACCCGGCCAACCAGAACTTTGCTGGGCTTCACCTTCGCCTTACTTTTGAGTCTGCTTGGTGGTTTGGGTAAAAGGGACACCACTACTAATTAGCCTTACTTGGTGGTTTGGATTGGTACTGGGGATTTGAAGCCCAGTTTCTTTAGGGTGAATGGGACACCACTCCCTAACCACCAAACCACCAATCCAGACCGCCAATTCAGGCGTACCTGAGGGCTGTTCAACAGCAATCCTAAATAAATCCTTACCTTGAGTTACGAAAGGGGTCCCTCTGTAGTAATAGGGATTACGGAAAATCGGATTGGCCACCACTGCATTGTGGGCACCTGAAACATTGCAAAACTCCGCCATGTTCCAGCTGGGACAGAATGGACATCCCCAAGCGATGGCCAGGCTGACATAGGCTGACAGGATTTTGGACCCCAAACCTCAAATTCGAGAGCCCCAAACTTCAAAGCCAAAACCTATGTCGCGCGCCCCAAATCCGTGTCAGGTCAGGTTGTGGGGTTTGAGGACACAACTGAGGGCTGACTTTGACATCAGGATCACGATGTCCTGGCCATCGCCGGGATGCTCCACACCGTCGAGCAGATTGAGGTCATCAACTTGAGCCGTGGCCCCAATGCTGGAGCCGGCGTCGGAAAAGCCAAAGCAAGGTGGTTTCGGTGAGTCTTTGCATTTCTTTGGGGCAATGCCTTGGTGGACAAGAACTGTGTTTCGAGCGGCTGAGCCAATTGGGACACGGGAGATGTTCAGAAGAGAACCTTGGTCAAACTTCAGGCTTCTTGGGAAATCAAGGAGCATCAAAGGAGCCGTAGAAATGCAAGGGGCAGAGCGAGTGGTCGCTTTGGCCCTTCGCGTGCTCAGGCAACAATGGACTTCTGACGGACAAGTCTATGGCGACCTTACTTGAAGCTGCGCCTAAGCTGGCAAGTGAAATGGCCGCGAAAGGACCTATAGCCGACGCTGCAGAAACAGGAGTTTGAACAGCGCTCAGCGTGGATGAGATCTTGAAAACCATTCCTGTATGGTTGGACCTTATCCCCCTAGGACAAGAAAAGCAAAGACTTGGTTGCCGTTGGCAGTTTGCATGAGGGTGTTCAAGGCATTTGATGTTGGTTGGAAATATATCCGCTGGCATTGTACTGGAAGCAAAGCCAGCAAACCAGGTTGTGCGGCACAAATCCTTGGACAGAGAGGGAAATAATGGACACCGGACGAACCTCTCCAAACATGAGTTGTTGTTGTTGCGGACCTGTTTTGCATTGTGCTTCCTAATGTCCGGCAAGCGCCGAGTGATTTGGACGACTCTCCAGCAAAAAAAGGATGGAGCCGTTGCCGCCTCTTGCTGGTTTACCAGATTGTCAAGGCAAGGTGTTACGGGAAGCATGGCTTCTGATTTTTTTAGCAGTTCTTGTTGTTATATTGTACCACGAGTTGTTGTTTAATAGCTGTGATTGTTCAGACTTATTTCAACTCCTAGCCCAGGCAGGAAACCCCGCCCAAGCACGAGAGTTTGAACCCGAACTCAGAAGCCTTCCAACTCCCCCAGCTTTTTGAGAACCAAAATTGGCCAACCATTTGGCGATGGGACAACAGAAAACCACCAGCGGACCGCAGGTTAAATCGTCCTTGTTTGTACCGCACGTCGGCATGTTCCATCTTTGGGTGTTGCCAGCTATGTTTGACCCCACATGTCACTTTTCAAGGCTTCGCACAAGAAAGAGAGTACCTTGAAATGCACTTAAGGAAACTCTTTGGGTGGGTTGCGAGTGAAGAAGAAAAAAACACCTTCCGGGTGAAGTCGGCTTTGTCTCCAGCCGCTCGGCTCGGCCAAACCCAGCTCCGAGGCGCTGCAGCGGCGGGGCCTGGCGGAGCTCCGCGCGGCGCGCTGCGGCGCGCTGGGGCCCAAAAGCGCCGCCCAGGTGGCGGCGCTGCTGGCCGGCCGCTCGGCGTCATAGGCGTTTTCGGCGGCCGAGCGGACGAGAGAAACCGAGCGCGGTGCACGGGGAATGTTGGGCCCCCCCGGCCGAAATGTGGGGGGTCCAACAGATGTTTTTATAGGGGGGATTGTATAGGAAACCTAATATCATTGTTAAACCTCCTGGTGTGTTTGTGTTTTGAGGCGGCGCTTGAGGTGATGGGGTCCAACATACTGTTGCACGAAATGATGCACCACCTACGAAACCCTGGCTCAGAATGGTTAAATACCAATAAACAATGGTTTCAACCATGGTTTCCAAGTAGTGCAGGACCTTGTCCACCCACAGTATGGTCTCTTTTGGGGGTTTAAGGGGGGATGTAGGAAAACACAAGAATGATTTCCCTGGTGGTCTTTTGCGGCGGCTCCAACATATTTTTCACTTTTAACGGGTATAGAACGGAATATAAGGAACCATTTTGCTGGGAAACTGGTGATTTTACAATCAATTCAGGTGAGAAGGGCGTAATTTGTCCAGGATGTGTGCCGGGTTTTGCTTGGAATGTGGAGCGAGAACGTCGCCAGGTGATCAAGGCATGTTGTGGCTATCTTTGCATCCCACGGATTGCGGATTCGGGATCCCCCGTTTGATCAACAATGTAGGGGATCAATTTTGGAAGGAAGACAACGTGGTTCACCTTTTGACTCCTAGGCTTGGAGTCAAAACCGAACCCTGTGGTTTCCTTTGCAAGGATTCTAGCAAGTTGTGGGCAAGCAAGTCCAGCAGTTCAATGCCTAGGGCAAGCACTTCGGATGTCTCAAAGGATGTTTGGCAGTCTTCGCTCCATGTGCGGTTCGGCTCATTATTTCCCACCCATAACAGGGGGCTGTTCCATATTCTTTGGGGTGACCAAAGGCATATCTTGACAGTTGCTGGCACCCAAAAAGGGCCACACACACACACAAACACACCCAGGCATACACCCCAAGCAAAGGGATTTTTCACCCCCTTTGTGGGTCAGCAGACCCAGAAGCAATGGCTGCCTTTGAAAATTCTGCTTGTCCGGTTTTCAGTTCGTTTCAAGGGGCCGAGCAACATGTCGCGAGCCAGAGGAAGTGATGACCGTGGCTAAACCATTTCTCATTTTGCCCAAGGCAACATTTGGGTGTGCCTCTTTTTCAAGGCAGCCTTTTTGTTGATTTTGAAGGAAACCCAAAGGAACACCACCGTTAAGGGTGTCCCCTAAAAAAAGAGCTACCCATTTGTCACTGAGCCGCTACTCTCTGGCATGAGACCTTAGGTGAAGCAGGGCGTTACCTGAGAGCCCTGGCAGCATGTGAATGCGTATTCGTGGCTGTTTACAACATGATCCCTCTAACAATACAAGGTGCCCCCCCCTTCCATGTTTTAAAACACCAAAACCACAACTCCAAAGTTGTTCGGAGGGGGAAAAGCAACAGCCACGTATGCAAAGTGTTCGGGGGCCTAAGCTCTGGTCTGTCATTTTTAGTCCTTGACGCCCCAAAAGTCGTTCAAAGCGGAGCAAGGGTTTTAAACACATATGGGGGGGGGGGATCAAAAGGTCGGACAATCAAGGGGTGAACATTAGGAAAACCACCCTGGATTTGACTTTCAGCACATGGGAGAAGTTACCCATGGTCATTTTGGGTCCGAACGGAATATTCATGAACACCCATATGGTTTCGTAGTGGTTTTTGTGTTTGTTCTGAAGGGCCCCCCAAATACGACAGGAGTTGGGGACGGTCGGAGAAATGACCCGACGATCCAAAATGAGTACTTCCTGGACCTGTTTTTGTTTTGGAAGTTTGGAAACGGTATTCTTAGGACCTACTTCGGAATTTTGAAATCTTCGGACCTGTTTTGGAATCCCCCCCCTACTTACCGGACCTGGATTGGAAGAAGGGGTAAGACAATTCAAGTAGTCATGTTGTTTTGTTCCGACCATGGGCTTCCGGCCTCAACTCCCGACCCACAGCTCTTACTTTGCAAGGTACAATGTTGATTTTATGTTTGTGTGTTTTTAATGTTCTATGATCTGTGATACATATTTGCCACTTCCCCTCCTGTCCACGAACATAACAGGAAATCCTTCCACTGATCTTCCATGCGCCCTCCCACAGGTGCTATGTTAGTGGAAGGAAGGGTTTGGACAATTGTAAAAAGACACTGCTTCCCTAAGGCTCATGACCCCTCCAATGCAGGCCTCAGGGCCCTCCAATGGAGAAGCCGGACCCCTCAGGGGCCCTTGAAAATCATCAGGAGCCTTAGGGTTGCGCGAAAATCAAGCCAAAGATGCCAATCCCAGCAGGCTTTGTATTGCAGACTCGTCCGGACTCGTAGCCCTGCAACTTGACCATGTCACAAGCTTCGCCCCGCAACTTGAGAAACAAAAAGCTGCTGGGTGTGTTCGCCTTTCTCCCTGCCCAGAGGCTCCTGGGGCTTTCAATGGAAGAACCGAGCCCTCCATTAGACACCCCGGGAATTGGTGGTTGGGGGTCTCAAAACCAGGTTGTAAGACCCTAAATCAATCGAATTCTACTGGCTTTGTTCCCTATGAAAAAATGAAGAGAAAAAAACACTCTTCATGGATCCCTGGGTTTGTTCCCTCCGTGCAAGTATGCATTGAAACAAGCCACTTGACCAAAAGCTTTCTCAGTGGCGTCCATCCGGGTCTCCCGATGCGAGGAGTGCTGGACATGAGCGGGGTGGCTTTGGGCTTGGCGGCGCAGGTACATTTGGCCGCCAGCATCCGCCTCCCGGCCGGCCCAAAAACGCGCTGGGCTGGCGGTTTTAAGAGGAAACCCAAGGAGGGCAATTTTTTGTTTGGATGTTTCTTCAGGATGTGTTTGTGGTTTTCTGGGCCGGGTGGCTTTTCGGCTTTTCGAAACCCAACGGGAACTCAGAGCCGCGATGAAAGCCGGGTAGATGATTTTTTTCAGTAAGGGACAAGCCCAACCACACATAGCTGCGGATATCCGCCTTCTTACATGGTTCTGGGTAGACCATTTTAATACCGGTTTTGACTATCACTCAGACGAGTGAGCTGGAATTCAGACCATTGCTGGTAACCGAGTTTTGGATGAGCCCAATCACACGAAAAGAAACCCAAGCAAAAACAACCACCATGTTATTGCTTGTTTTTTTGGTTTTGGGGGTCCCTCTATTCTAAGAGACACCCATATTTGACCTCTTTTGAAGGGGCTTCCATATTCTACACCCATATTCAACTTTTTTTGAACGCTGCTCGTTCCCTAAGGTCCATCGGGCTGAGATGAAAGCCGACAAATCCGGACAAAGCTTTTGGATGGTGGGTAGCAGTGGGCTTCTGGGGATCAGGCTGATTGGGATGGCTATGCATTTTAAGGTTTTTATGCCATGTAGGGCCCCAATATGACCATAGGTAGCCTTTCGCTTGTGATTGTTTGGTTTCCCTTGGTCGCCCCATGATCTTTTGATCAACCCCATGCATGACCCGAAGATCTTAGGAGAGCACGACCAGCTGAGAGAGTTGAGTTTGGCCGACACCCAGCTGTCCGGCACCGACACTTGGCAGCACGAAGTCACATGAAGCGCCTCACGCGTCAACCCGGCCCCATGGATTTAGTGTCAAAGTCACCTTGAAGACAAAAACAACCCCCGTTTGTGACTAACCCCCAGAGCACTCGGCACACCCCTGGACTCATTCTCGATGATCAAAGTAATCCTTGTAAGTGTAAGTGGTCGTTTGAAGTGAAACAACCCCAGTTTTTGACTTTGATACCTGCACTTGCTCAGAGCCGACCTTTTCACCTTTTGGTTTTCCCATGTGCATTTTTCGTAGAGATGCCAAAAGATTCGCCTTGTATTTCTGGATCCCGAAGGCTCAACTCAAGTACTACCTTCCCCATTCTTTCCAGGGATCCTTCTTTCTAGAACACCTCCGGAAACCCAGGGAAATGGATCCGGTTTTTGATAGAAGAGCGAGGGTTGAAAAGAATGGACAAGAAATCAACCCCCAGAATATTCCCCCTCCCCCCCTCCCCCCCTCTCCCCCTCCCCCCTGTCCCTCAACCCCCCAAAAGAGAATCACTGAGTAACCCCTCCGAAGTCAAGCGCCAACCGACCAACCAGCCCGGATTCAGAGTCCCCAGATCAATGCTGATTCTCACTCACCACTGCCACAAAATGGGGAATCAACATAGGTGTCCTTTTTGGTTGTTTTGGTCGAAAAATAGATGGCCCTGGTTTGCCTGGTGGTTTAATCATCTACCAGGGCCATCTTTTTGCGCTAAAAGGACGCCTATGGGAATCAACCTGATCCACTGCTTCCCCCCCCGAAGTACGAACTTTGAGTCCGAGGACTGCCTTGAGTCCATCGCGGGCAACGCCTCGCTGGAGCTCCTGGACCTCGGCTGGAACTCCTTCGACGAGCGCTGCTTCCGCCTCCTAGGCGCCCTGGACTCGAGCGTGTCGGGGCCCATGGCTGGCAATCAATTGGAACAAAAGCCATGCGGTTCCGTAGGTTTTGAGCATGTCTAGCTTGGTTTATAGTGGGTTTTGTTTAGGTCTTTAGCTTTTTAGTTGGTTTAGTGTTTTTTAGGCTTGTTTAGCTTGCAAAGTTGGTTTGGTGGGGGTTGATGAATGTTCCAACTCCAGTCATACTAGGGGGGGCCTTTCAGAACCAACACAAAACCACTACTAAACCAATACACAAATCCAAGCACATGTCACTGATATGGGGTATGACAATATTCCATTTGGGGCCCCAACATGACCATGGGTAAGTTTTCGCAGGTAGTGAAAGTCGTCTCTTTTTCGCCCATGTTTCTCGGACCTTTTCTTTGGATCAACCCCCAAGTGTCGACCCATGTGTCACTTGTGTTTTTGACATGCCTTTTGACCCCAAACATAGAAACTGTTGTAGAGCACGATCCTTGTGCAGCCAAGCATGCATGTTCCCTTCTTACATGCATCCGTTGGTGGCGATGTTAGAAAGGGGGTTTGATCAATCATGTACACGCTATGGAGGCTTCGGATTCTACGTCCCTTGATACTGCCAAACATGGTAGGAGGTTGTGAACCATACAGAGCCGGATTCAACGTTTTGTCCAAGACTCGAGAAGAAGCCAGATCACCGCCATGAATGTTATAGCTTCCGTTGAAGGGCTCCACCAGAGTAGCAGATACGCTGATTGCCACAAGACGATCGCTGGCCTGGCACTCACTCTTCCTCGTTCGCGGTGTTCATTTAACGAGCAAAATGATCCTGCTGCTGGGTAGGCCAAGTTGCAAGCTCATTGCAAGGTGCAAAGCGCTGACTCAGTCATCAACGCCACTGTGCTTTTACGATATTCTTTGTGAAGCTCTGCAGCACAGGTTTGAACGAATCGGTTTCGTTAGACAATACGATGTACACCAACCAGCGCCAATCCATTTTCACACGAACGGTGATCATTGGCAAGCGAGTAGAAAGACTTCCCGCCCATAGGAATGGACAGTCAACAACGAAAAACAGCACTTGACTGCAAGACCGTCCTGACACCCATCTCAATCCAGTTCGGCCTAAAGTTTCACACTCCCATGCCGCTGGTGTTAGTTGACAGCATATTGGGCCCACGTCTCATTGGGAAGCAATGTCTCCCAGAAGTATCATCCTATCGCACCCGCAGCATCCCACTTGCTGACAGCGGTTTTCCTATGCTGCGCCTAAGAGAATCTGTGAGGGCAGCCTCGCAAACATGCATTTGTAAATCGCAGAGAGTGCACATACTCCACTTCGAATTCGTTTACGTCAAGCGCTTTCCGATTGCCCCGCTAGTGAACAGAGACCATGTTCAAGGACGGGCCAGATAGATTGTTTCCTAGCACCAGGCAAAGAGTTCTACGTACCTGACTGTGGCAGGCTTGCTGATTTGCTGAATCCCTTCCTTTTTCCCGCTGATTCGCAACATGTGGGACATGTCATGTTTTGGTCGTTTCCGAACCAAAGTGGTCATCCCATGTTTACCAGATCGTAGCTTTAAAAAACACACACACACACACACACACACACACACACACACACACACACACACACACACACACACACACACACACTTGTTCTTTTGTTTTTTTTGCCTTGTGCTGTGGCTAGCTGTTCACCCATGCGCGGAGCGCTCCATGGCGAGATCTGACTTTCCGGCTCCGTCTGGAGGCCAGGAGCTCCAGAAGAACTCCATGCTGCAGCGCCTGCTGCTGCCCCGGTGCTGCCCCTCGCGCGGAGCCATGGCACCGCTGCTGGAGGACTTGTCCGGCGCCTTGGAAAGCGGAGTCCAGAAGCACCGATTCGGGGGGAAAACATAGGTGTCCTCTTTGGTTTGCGTAAAAAAGTCGAGGGCCCTGGGTTAGTTGGGGTGTGTTCCATTTGCCAGGGGCATCTATTTTTCCAAAAGGCCGCCTATGGAAGGAGGTCACCATGCTAAAGATCCTGAAAACTTGGGGATTGATATATTTCAGGTTTTGGAAGCATTGTCAAACTTGCAGATGTGTTTGGCAGTAAGCCCACTTGATCCCCAACAGCCCCGGAACCCTCCTTTTGAACCTCTCAGTTCATCTCAGTTCGGATTCGAGAGGTGCAGGGAGAAGCGATAACCAACCCAGAAGTGATTGGCCCGTTGTTTTTTGTTTGCCGAGAGGTAATGCATACATATATATATACATATATATATATATACATATATTAATATAATATATATATATATATATGCAGACACCTTGGCTGCGTTAGGAGTTCAAGGCTTGAAGTTCTTGGACATCGCTGCCAATCAGATGCTTGTTTGCACTGGATGTGCATGGATTCACTCGCACGAATGAGCTGGTTTGCCTGAACATGGCTATGGTTGTTGTTCTTTGTGACCTTGTCCAGTTAAACAGACTCAGCCTGAAAGTCAAACACAGCCACAAGGATTGACTATCAAGCAGCGCTTATTCTGGAGGACGTGCACCATGGCTGCAAGGGTTTCAATCAACAACGTCAGGCAACGAGCAACATCAATGTCAACATGCGCAGAAGCGGGCGGACAGCCATACCCAGAGAAGATGGTCCTCAGCAATTCGGCCTAGTTTCAGCAAGAGTCCGTTGAGCAACCACAGCGCAACCACCACCAACAACGATCGCTAGAAGTGATGGATGCACATTCGACATTGGGCCAGCTATACTCACAGCTGATTCAGCTACCTTTAGCCGTATCGATGCAATTCGCCACCATGGCCACCAAACATTATGTGCCATGATTGTTGGCAGGGAAGCAGCCTCAACGGAGTGCAAGTTGGTCCAAAGTTTATTCGCCGAATCCAACTGTGTTTGGAATCGGGCCGCTTTGTTGGATGAGTTGATGAATTTGATGGCTGCACAAGATCCCAAACTGCATTTTGGCTGGGGCAGACTCCTGTGACAAGCATGGAAGATCTTGCAACATATTTGCTTGTCAAGCGCACGTCTTGGGATTTTTGTGGCCCCTCTGGGGAACCGCCCCCTTTTTGAGGGAACCCGAACCCTTTCCGGGCGGCACCGCTCGGCACCAGGGACCTGGCCGTGTATTGTCTTGAAGCTGGAAGCCAGAAACGGCCAAGAAACGACACCCTCCAAGTTTTTTGCACCAGCAGTGGCAAGGAGGAAAATATATGGCGGTGGGTCAGAATCAATTTCATCCCATTTTGGGGTAGGTGAACTCGCCACCCATTTTAGAACCTATTTTTGTGGGGATTGGGATGTTCACTGGGGGTACGGGCTTTTGACCCATGGCCATATTGGTCATTGGCTTTTGCAGGCTGCAGCACCATCCCTGCCTCAAGAAGATGAATGCGGCTCGGCCCGTGATGACATGTTGTATGAGGCACATCAGGTTCCTGGTCGTGATCAGGAATAGTTGGCAAATGGATGGATTTGTAGTGTTTCTCTGGTGTGGAGGCATTCGGATGATACGCAATCGAAAGCCCGGTTGAACCGTGGTCGCTCTTCTGATTGAGGGTTACACTTTGTGAATGCTCAGTAGCCCTGACCTATGCAGAGATTGAGCTACCATTTGTGGCCCATGATAAATATGACATCAGAGCAAGGCAGGACAATGCAGATCCCCGCACGTGTTTACTTGCTCCCGTCAATGGATATGGCTTGGCGTTTCCTCTTTCCGCTCTTAGCCACTCGTTCAAATTGCATTCATTTGTTGTGGAACCAAGTGAATGCATAGCCGCGTTATGAGACTTATCACTGATAGTGTGCTAAGCTTGCTTTGGGGTTGAGAAGAGAATCACAGGTTTGGGGGTCTTAGCGAAGTTACAATTATCTATGGCCCCATCTGGCTCTGAATTGCAGCTGGGTCTAAGAGTCTAAACTCTAAACTGCGCAACGTATGCATCACAATTCTTGGCTCATATCAGACTTCAGTTTGCAACCCGCTGGGCGGAAGTAGGGTGTTCATTCCAGGCTGTAAAGACTTGGATTGAAATAAGTTTGAATCAGTAAGATGGGGCGACTCTGCAGACTAGCATACACAGCTATACGGACCTAAGGAAGAAATGTGGCACTCTTTTGCTTGATTCCAACTGAACTTCAGGGTCAAAAGATACGTGTTTGATGGCAAACTCCACGAACAGTTCCATGAACTCCGCTTGGGAAACAGGTCTGACATGAAATGTGAAACCTGGAGCCTCCCCCAAAGCAATGGACTATGGCACTGGCAACAAACAGGTAGATTTCTGGGCTTTGGGAACTTCCGTTCACGGCACAAGCTGACACAAGGCGAGCCAAACGCAGAGCCCACGTTCTATGCCAACGTCCCAGGCAACCTATGTTCTCGGAGACTCATTCTTCCTCACAGACTTGAAACACTTCTTGGGATCGGACCAATTTAGTGGCAAGCCAAAAGTGTGGTTACTTTGGTTGGCCAAGCCACTCGATGGGACGTGAGCTTCACATGTTGAGACTCGATGGTTTAGGTCTCCGAGAATCCGCTGGGGGTGCTGGGTCTCCGCTCCTTGCTGCGGCTGCTGTGCAGCGAGGGCTCGCTTTTGGCCTTCGACGGCGGCTCCATCTTCGTGCCCTTCCTTTCAGAGGGGCGAAGAGAGAAGCGGCGTTTGAAGGTGGTGAGGTCACGAGGTCACCACGCAACAAACTTGACGCTATTGAATTGGTTTGAGTCTTTAGACTTTAACTTTTTGAAAATCAAGGGGTTTTCCACTAAACCCCCAAAAAGTTAAACTTTTTGCAGGGGGGTCAACAGCAACCAAGCACAGAGGGTAAGCCCGCCCTAAATCGGAGTTTGGATGGGGTGAACAAAAATGCAGTGACAAGCGAACGAAATGCTTGCCGCCGTTTTGCTCTCATACACATGACACGCCACTGAATGAGAACAGAAGCATGGACGGGTGCTAAGATGCCATGGCATCCACACAGCCTACAGCTGCTGGCTTGTAGACCACTTCAATCTGGCAACAATGATTGCTGGAAATGGAATGCGGGTTGGCTTTGAACACTATCGGTTTGAAGGATTTGTTTGGCTCGGCCCAGAGTGCTGAGGATGAAGATGGGCACATGGAGTCCGACAAAGCCTTCAGAGCGAGCAGCCCAGGACACGGTATGCGAAGACCGCGTGGGCGTCTAGATGTTCAAGCAGCTGGCGGTTAGAAGCGGCAATCACTGTTGCTGATTCTTAACCAGCCCATGGAAGGTGTTGCTTCAAGCTCAGCCAAAACATCGCGTGTGCACATAACTTTTCATGGCTCTGGCGGGTGCAGCTTCTTGTGGCAGATTGCGTTGAAGAGATTGAGCATCGAGGGGCTGAAGACGCAGCATCTGTTTAGCAGCCATCAAGGGGGCTTGAGGGTATATAGAGTGTGGCAGCCCAAGAGAGTGTCCATATTATTGCAAGCTTCATTTGGACGGTCTAACTGTTCCATGTGTGTGGCAGCGTGCGTGTGCGTGTGTGTGTGTGTTGTGTGTGTGTATTGTGTGTGTGTGTGTTGTGTTGCTGTGTGTTGGTGTGTTGTGTTTGTATTGTGTTTGAAATGTATACATGTGCGATCCGTGTGTTTGTGTGTGTGTGTCTCTGTGCGCATCTGTGTGTCTTCGCGTGTTTTCGTGTGTCTTCGTGTGTCTTGTGTCTTCGTGTGTGTCCCTGTGTGTCTCTTTGTGTCGCTCCGTGTCTCTTTATGTATCTCTGTGTCTCTCTGTGTTTCTCTGTGTCTCGTTAAGTTTTTCTGTGTCTTTGTGTATCTCTCTGTCTCTTTGTGTCTCTCAGTGTCTCTCTGTGTCCGTGTGCGGTCTGTCTGCGTGTGTGCGTGAGCCTGTGTGTGTGAGAGGGAGAGAGATAGCGTGAGAGCGTGAGTGTCTGCGCGTTTACATTGCTGCCCGCAACCCCTGCTCCCTGTGGCCAGTTCTGCAGGAGGAGTCTATCAGCTGGACTTTTCGAAGCCCTACCATCGAAGTTTGCTGCGAGTTCTTGCCAAGGTGCGGGCGGCTCAAGTCGGAAGCCAGCGAATGACCCGTTTCTCTATCGAGAAGCCTCGGTCTGACGTTCAGCATTGAATGGCAAGTCTACGGGAATCAATGGGCTGCTCTGTTTGATGTGGCGTCGAGTTTTCCTTTTGCAAGGAGTTCGAGGCATTCCATTATCCCAATTCACGGTTCAACGGTCAACAATCCCAGGGCCTGATTACACAAGACCGACTCGCAAGGGCAGCTTTCCCTGGCCAACATTGAGAAGATAAAGTGTGACAGGAAGGAGAGGGAAGCCGATCTAAATTCATGTTCTGAGGCAGCCATGCGGTCGATTGGCGAAATGCATCAGCACCTCAGATACCATGCAAATGCCAAGTCATAGACAGCAGGTGAAGATCTGCATCTCGACAGTTTGTGTTGTAAAGTAGCCTTGAACATGTACCTTTGATGTGTTTCGAGACTCCAAATTGGAAACTGCACTGTTGGTCGATTGTGCTAGTCATAGGTCATATCAACAGATGGTGAGTCAAAAAACACAACCCTTCAAGGTCCCTGGTGGAATTTTCGCAAATCCGTTCAAAGGGATTTGCAAAATCAAACAGATCCGCGGATCACCTTCGCGGTCAAGCCAGACCGCGGAGCGGCTGCGGATGCAGCTGCCAGAGGCCTTGACCATGGGCGGCTTGCCTTTGCCGGAGCCGCCTGGGCAGAACTGAGATGGCTGCGGTTGGCAAAACCAATGGGATCCCATTTTGGTTGGTAGGTGAATTCACCACCCATTTTAGAACCTATTATGGTGGGGATTGGGATGTTCACTGGGGGTTCGGGATTTTGACCCATGGCCAGATTTGCCATGACAGAATCCTGCGGAACTTTGCGCAGCTTTAGAGCAAACGCCTTTAGCATTCAGAAACGACAGACTGGTAATTTTCAGAAGCAGGAGTGCTAGCAATGACAGGAGACAATGTTCAGCCAAGATTGCTGCCATTTGCCCCTTCTGAGCATGCCACTCGACTGAACGGACCGAATGCTGAGATTCGCTGATGGACTCACCTTCTGCTCAGGAAAGCGCCAGACGGCACATGGATGCTTGGCGGGTATGGTGCGCACAGCTCGTGGTAGAAGCATCGAGGCATCAATGAGGACAATTCAATAGGACATCTCACTTATGGCAGTGGCTCAAATTTAAAGAGCTAGGGTTACGCAGGTTTTGGTCCATGTTTCCACTTACCAGGGCAAGCCATGTTGGGATCCCGGTTTTTGAGCTACAGGGTTCCATGTTGGTACCGGTTTTTTGAGCCATATGGCAAGAGCAGCAGACTTCAGAACGAGAGACTCATGTTCGCCTCTGGGGTCAAACTGCTTGCCACGGCCGCGCTCAGGACAGTGCCCTGCCGGGGCGCTGCCAAGGTGCGCTTTAACGTGGAGAGGTCGGTGAACCTTACGGAGATGCCTGGCAGATTTGCTTACTTACTGGATCCCAACAACCAGAGGATGTTATTTTGGGAAGCCTCCCACAGTCGGTTTATGTTTTTGTTTTTTTGTGGTGCTCTTTCACTTGGCCTGAATCAGCTGCAAGGGGGCCAGTGTTTTACAGGGATGTTTTGCATTGGGCCTACTTCTACAGCTGGTAAGCATTGCATAACCAAACACGCACGTTGAAATGCGTTCAGTTTGGCGTGATGTTTTAGAGGGAAGGCAGGGATTCCAGTATGAACTACTAGCTAGTATTTTGTATTGAGCCGGGAATGACATTTGTTATGGCTCGGATTACTTTCAGAATGTTCGAATGCTTGCAGACAGATTGCTTCCAGAGTATGGTGGGATCAAATCAGCACACGCAACATAACGCCGCCCGGCATAAGAAGTGAACATCGCCGAACTTCCATGCAACCTGGGATGGAAGGCAAAGCTAACATATGTTGAATGTACAGGTGACAAACCTCGAGAGAACAGCAAGACTAGCTCAGGCAAGCAGACCAGGCTAGTGAAATGGCAATCCCGGTCAAGTGATGGCTGGTGAAATATCAATATTTGCAAGGAAGCTGTCATGCTTGAACCAGACATTCAAACAGTCGCATGGTCTAATCCTTAGTGTGAACCCTGAGTCAGGAGTTGCTACAGGATGTGCAATGGCAAACATTTTTTGAAAAGGTCATAGGTCACAACTTCTTTGGGAACAGCTTAGGGTTTAGGCCTTGCTCGTTTTAGGCCTTGCCTCATAACAGGATTTATTGAACTGACCAATACAATCCCAGCAAAGCGGAGTCATGAGTCAGCCTCTCCTCGGAGAAAACCGCAGGTTTTGAGCCACTGACACTGATTCAGTTGGATGGTGAAGAGGGCCAAGGTGTGCATTGCTCTTAGAACTCCCAAAAGACGAAGGTTTAGAAGGACTTTTCAGCAACGTAACGTGCGATTTGGGCCTCAAGTTAAATTTTGCTGATCCAGTTTCCCGTCGAACCGCCAAATTTGGGGGCGGTCAACCCCGTTTTCTGATCCATCAGGGGTCCTGCCTCCCCTGTACCCATGAAAGGTCAAATTGGTGTTGAACCCGCTCCAACAGCTGATGTTTATCAAGGAGGTATCGGGATCCCGGACTATAGCCTTTTTGTTGGCAGAACTTTGGCACAAGCGCGTGTTCGCACCGAATCTTCATATTAGATATATTTGCAACAACATGGAGGGAGGCATCTACATTTTGATGATCTTGTCTTTGGCAGCCTCGGAGTGTTGCTCGGAAACCTCGCTCTTGCAGAACTCAAACGTCCACACCTCCACACTCTCACAGAGACGATGGATAAGACATTGGCTTGCCTTGTACATCATTCCAGCACTGTCCCGGAAAGATAATCCGAAAACACAGACTATTCAGAAGGTTCTCCCACGTTCCCATAGGTGTCCTTTTTAGGTGAGCCTGCGTGTTGCCCCAGGAAATGGAACTTCGCCTCTGTGCTGGAGCAAAGAAGCTTGCGCCTTCGGGTGCCGGCAAGGAGCGCAGCGAGCGCAGCTTTGGGTTTGCTTCGGTCATGCAAGGTCACGATATTTGGCTGGTCAAACGTCGGTACCCAAAATGGGTTGCCCTTATAAATGGAACCAAGGACTAAACCTGAGGTCCCCTGGTGGTTGAATGTTGACCCATATTCATTTGGGGTAGTAAGGTGTAATAATCTTTCATGAGCATCAGCTTAAAGAGCACGCTCCTTGGGCCTAATTCCCTGCGGTGGGCAATGCGCTAAGCTGCACGCGCATGCCAGGAAACAAGTGCAGCTCCTGATGCAGTTTAGCAGCCTGAGATGCCAGATTCATGAACAAGTCGTTTTCCTGAATGCGCTGCTTGATGTGCATCGGTGCGAAAACTTGCAGGAAAACCTGCAGGGTAGCTTTAAACTTGCAGGTGACTGTCAACATGTTGTCTGCAGAGCGTGAGTCAGCTCTTTGAAACACCAGAGTTTCCCTCTCTCCCCGGAAAGATGGAATCTGAGGCTCTCAAAAGATTTCCTCCTGGAACCCGCACAGCTGCTCCAGTTTTGCTGGGAGAAGGAGATTGCTGAAGAGGCAAGCGTGGGAAAGAGCCGCGTCCCTTCGTTTTCACATCGCTTGATATGGCCCGTGGAAGGTTCGGACTAAGGCAGTTTGGCGCCGCGATTTCGCGCGGCACCAGAGTCCAGAGAGTGGATTTCGCGCGGAAATGTCCTGCTGTGCATCATATTGACTTGTGGTAGGACAATCTGATGCAATGTAGGTGGATCAGGGCATTGTTGTAGGACATAGAATCATAATATTGTCATTTGTGAATCTCCTGTTTGTTGCAGGTGGGTCAGAGTCAATCACACAATTTGTTTGTATCCTGTGCAAGTTCAGCTGGGTTGCCAGTCCGAGAAACTGATAGAAACTGAGCATTGGGCACAATAATTCATAATATATATATATATATATACATATATACACATGGAGAGAGAGAGAGAGAGAGAGAGAGAGAGTGGTCCAACGGAAAGTTGCTGAACTTGATGCAGCATTCAAGCGAAACTTGCTGTCCGAACACGGCCTTCTCTTTGCAGGCTGTGTGGAGACTGCTGCACTGCGTGTCCAGCCAGCAAGGGCGCTTCCTGACGCTGCTGGCCGCGCCAAACATTGGTACTTGGGCCGGATGGTCTGACTCGAAAATCTTCGCAACTTGCAGCGCTACTTCAATTGGTTCACAATCAAGACCCGGTATGAACATGGCCAAACCAATGTAAAGAGTACAAAGGCGGCTGAATTGTGCGGTTTCTCAGCCTTGTGGCTTGATTAGGCCTGAGGCAGGGGAACAGGGGAACAGGATTGGTCAGGGTTCATGAGACACAGATAACACCATTCAGCCCCAACAATTGGATGGTTTTACCCACACCCCGTTCATAAACTGGGGTTGATCAATATTGGATGGTTTGGGAAAGGGAGAGGATGGTTTGGGAAAGGGAGAGGATGACATTTGCCGTGAGGCGCCTATGTGGGCGCTCTACGGCAGACATCGAACCTGCTGCGCTTCAATGCCATGAACCCAAGTGGCCACTACAGAACTTCAGCTGCAATTGGCAGGTCCAATCGCTGCCCTTTTTCGGGAGTCTTGATGGCTTGGCATTTGTGCCACCGGTGAGCCAAACACGTGTTGTTTTGGAGAGGTTTGCTGCGTGACACTACAGAGGTCTCACTCCGATCCCAACCAACTATGCCTCCGAACCAAAAGCTATAGCTCTCCTCCGAAATCAAACTTTCTCCGCTCAAGTGGCTCCAAACGTTTAGAATGCATGAAGGGCTTTCGGCATGTCAATTGAACATGTTGGAACCCAAAGGGCCTATTCACTGCGACCTTGGATCCCGATGCTTGTGCGGCCGACGTGCAACCGCTCGACCCACTGATATGACCACATTGGCCACATATCACCACCCCCGCCCGAAGCAAACAAAAAGCAGACAAAACCCATGAATTTTATTATTAGTGTTATAATTATTATTATTCCTATTTGTTTTCTGTTGTTGTTGTAAAAAAAAACAAACACTTTTTAAGAAAAAGATCGATTTTGCGCAATGAGCTTGACCGGAAGGGACGAAGCTTAGGCCTGGACTTGGCGAAGCCCTGCGACTTTGCGGTTGGCCAAGACTTGGTGCTGCTGGACCGCTGGGAGCAGCTGTTGAGGGCCGAGCTCAAGCGCCGGGATGTGGGCCGGAGGTGCGGGGGGGGGGGGGGGGTGGGCTGGGCGGGTCGAGAGTCGGGTTGGGCGGGTCGAGGGTCGGGTTGGGGGAGGCGAGGAAAAATGTCTGGAGGGCGACTTGTTGTTGGCAAGTTGGCTGGAAAGACGTTGCTGGCAGCCAAGAGAAATGGAGAGCATCAGGTTTCATGTGCTGATTTGGATGTAACATCCATTGGGTTTGCATGACCTTGGCCTGCGCGAACCAGGGCGTGCAAATGCTGCAAGGTGTGAGAAATTCATGTGTCATTCTCTTGCACAGGAGCGGCAGCTGCATGTTTGATGAGTTTTACCAGGGCGATGCGCTGACAACAGGACCGAATAGTGACCGCGAATACTTCATGCGACTGACTGTATGCGGATCGGCTTTGCTGCAGGACTGGCCGAATGGAGCTGGCCAGAGCATGGCCTGCTGGAGTTTGAGTACGCCAGTGGTCAACGTCCGGGCGAGGACCGGATGTGCTTCTCAAGCGTGTGGCTCATTCAGAAGTGTGGGTTCCTGTTGGTTTCCATTCAAAGCCATTCTAAGAAGACAGGTTTCCCTTTTGTGTCAGATGTGTACGTGTTTATTTTGAGCAAGACAACGACACGTAGAGAGATGTGGGACTTGAATAAAAGCTCTGTTGTATCGAGATGCGAAGGGGGCGACTCGTCGGGTTTGTGCATTGGTACACGCAGAAACTTGGCGATGGACTTTGCGAGGATATGTTTGCGTGGCGAAAGGTTTTTTGCAGGATGGTCAAGGATCCCACATAGGGCACCCAGCTTGTGCACTAGGCATCAGATCAACCAAGCTTTGCTTGGACACGACCTGACGTCCGGTGCTTGCTTCTCACATTGTGGTTTTGATATTGTTCAATGACGACTGAAGCAAACATCATGTTGAACGACATGTTTGGTTGTTGCACTTAACGGCAATGATGGAATTGTCAAAATTGACGTTTAGAAGTGTATGTCATGTTGTGAACCCTGAAGGCGCTTCCGTATTTTGTAGGTTGCTTGTTTTCCTCATGAAAAGCCGGCTTTTGAGGAACTAGCTTTGCCATGGGCTTTGCATGTTGCGCTTTGCACGAAGATGTTTATGGGAGTCTTGGCATACAACGGTGCAACGCACCCTCAGAAGTTTGCTGGCCCACTTGACCCTGCAGGCGCAGGCGATGGCGTCGCCAGCTTTCCGGCAGCTCTGCAAGGCGATAGCCTCACTGGAGCCGATCTGATCTCATGGATTAGTTGCTCATGTTTGGCGCTGGTTTTGCGCAAAGACGCGGACAACAGCCACCTGCGCGTTTGCTTCTTTGTTTCAAGTCGAGGCCGTGCCGTTTTTATTCAGGTCGCGCAAAGCGCGTGGGTTGCTGAACTGGACCCTCACGACAGGCGCTGCTGTGTTGCAGTTTGCCGGCCACGGAGAAGGTGGCCGCGCTGCGCCAGGTGCGGCTCCAAGGGATGGAAGCGCGGAACCAGCACGCGGTCAGCTTTTCGGCGTTTGGTTCAGCCCGGCGGTTTGGTTTCTTGTTCCATCACCAAAACGGCCAATCGGTTCTAAACGGAACTGAGAAGCAATTCCCCAAGCAAAAAAAAACCACCAAGTAGGGGGAAGCTGAAAACGTGGAAGTGTGCAGACCCCGTGTGAAAGACTGTCCTCTTGCAACGTTGCAAAGGGCCTGTGCGCTTTTAGTTTAGTTCTGAACAGCTGTTGAGACACACTTGCGCAAGATTCGCTCAATCCTCGTGGGTGAAAAGGTTTCGCCACTGCGGGGCCACCGGAGTAAATCTTTAGACTGGTGCTTTTTGAATCGGAACTCGTCAGCAGACGTGGTTACCACAGCTTTGTCATGGTTTGTCCATGAAAGGCCCAAGCTTCTGTGTGATGTGGTGCAAAATCAACGACGTGTGTGGTTTGCACTGTAAAGGAAGTTCATGTGTTTCTGAAATACCCCGCCTGCCATTTTTTGGGGCACATAGGTGGTTGTAGCCATGGCAACAAACGCATCAGACAGTCTTACACGAGACCTGGTCTCAGGTCTCGCACCGCTTTCTCTTGTCGGCCTTCCAGCTGCGTAGCCTTTGTTGGCTGCTGGATTCTGCGCGAACGGAGCTGTACCACCTCTTTTTATTGAGGCCGGCCGGCCGGTACCCAAAATCAGGGCTCCTTGAAAGATACGTTTTGCCAATTTCAAACATGGCTTTTTCCACCAGAACAAGGGGAACCGCCATTTACAAGGCAATGTTCAGGTGTATACTGTAAGGGTCCCTGAAAATGGAACCCTGGTAAGTGGAAACATGGACCCAACCTGCGGTTTGCCCCTCCGAGCGTTTCATTTTGAGCCACACCCACACCTTGCGTGATTGGCAGGCTGGTGGACATCCAGAATCTGAAGCTGGTGCATGAGGCGTTGCAGGAGCCACCGCAGCACCTCCAGAGGCAAGCGGAAATGATCGTTCGAGATCCCTTTTGGGACGTCACACTCGGCAACATGCGAAGAATCATTGCCGATTGCAGGGCAGCATGATTGAAACTTGCAGCGAGCGTCACAGTTTTTATTTTCTCCCCCGAAGATCTTAAATATGTGTCTTACCTGCTCGCCTGATTTGCCTGAGACCCATGCTCAACCCTGAACAAGAGTGGGCGCTAGACTCTCAGACTGTGTCCGTGTGTGTGTGTGTGGTTTAGTGTTTCTTCTGCGGGTGTCTGTGTGTTTGTGCAGCAGCTGCTCTTGACCGGGACTGCCAGGTTCAACCAGTGCATGGTGTTCCCCTACATCCAGCCGGAGGAGCGGGAAGGGCAAGGGCCACGAAAGCACAATAGCGACTGCTTACTGTAAATATACGAAACCCATCTCGCACCACTTGAAAACTAGGGGAAACCATTGTTTGTTGGTATTTACAGGGGAATCATCATTCCAGGGTTTCTTAGGTGGTGCGAAATGGAGTGCGTCCATCCAGAGTATTTTGCGTTGGCGTTCTGGTGTTGGTCAGCAAGCAGTCGACACCTCTTAGTTTCGACCCAGATGACGGCCTCGCGGCTAGGAGTGGGACTTCAATCTGAACCTGCGCTTTGCCGACCATCGCCTGGCCTGCTTGGCCGTGACTTGGCCCGGGCATAAAAACGTAAGGTCCGTGTGGCATAGGGTCGGTTTTGTGTGTGTGTGTGTGGCGCTAGACCAACTGGCTGTGGGTTAAAAATAGGTACCTGAAATGAAACCCTGGCAAGTGGCAACATAGACTAAAACCTGCGGTCCCCTAGTGCTTCAATTGTGACCCATACCCAACTGATTGTCAAATCTAGGAGTTTGTTTTTCTGTCTTCTTTTTTTTAAAGAGCCTTTCAAAAACTAAACTAAGTGTTGTTTTTGGCGACCGTTTGCAGGTTGTGCCTTGCTACCTTGTGAAAATGAGTTTCGTTGCTGCACCAAATACGTTACATATTGTTTGATAGGAATAGCACGCTGGGAAAAAACACAATTCAGATGATTCAACAAAGCCATTGAGAAGAGAAGACATGGGGGATGATCAAAAGGTCCTTTATATGGGAGCATTGGGGGAAACCACATTTGGGGGTCGGGAAGATTGATGAACCCCCGACATTTTCCATTTGGGTGTGGCTCAAAATTCCAGAGCTGGAGTTACACAGGTGTTGTTTTTTGTCTCCAAGGGGCCTTCAAAATGGTACCACCTTTTTGAGCCGCAGCTATTTCACTGGCATTCCCCCCGCCCGACATGGCTGTGGGTCAAAAATGCATACCCAAAACGGAACCCTGGTAAATGGAACCAAGGACTAAGACCTGCGGTCCCCTGGTGGTTTAATTTTGACCCATTCCCACATGTGCCCACATGTTTCCATTTCAGTGGCTGTCGGAATCGCAACAGTCAGGTCTTCAAGCTTTGCGAGGCCGAAGGTTGGAGCCGCTTGCAGGAGAAGAGTGCCACGGCGACTGGGGCGTAGGGCCTATGTCAAGGGGTCATCAATGTTGGACCCTCTTTACACCCTCCCCCCCCAAAAAAAAACAAAACAGTGGGAACAGTCAGCTGGACCCTCTTTAGAGAACATCCTGCGGGGTCCAGTACTTACTTAAGTATTGCCAATTCTACTGGCTAAGGCTTTAATTTGAGAATTTCAGCAACCCCAAAAATAGTTGGACACTAAAGAGGACGCTTCTTGTGGGCAACCCCCCTGTTTGCCCTTACTTTTGTGTAAAGAAGTTATCTTAAATATGATGGTTTGGGGGCCAAATGAATTCCCAATGTTTGCCCGGATTTGTTTGCTCGTGTTTTGTCCGACTTTTGGCCAAACGTTGTGTGCCCGGATTTTTCCAGGCAGTTGTTTCCCGGCAAAAGAATTGCCGCAATTGAGGACCCTCAAAGCAGTCACAAGATCCTGAATTGTGAAATCGAGGATACTTTTAATTACTTGCTTTGCGAGTCCTTTTTTGGTGTTACTGCTCAACTAGTTGGTACCTCGTATCTTTCATGCCCAACTGGCGGAGTGGAAGGTCGCGTGGTTTCTTCAGTGACAGCCAGCTGCGTGAATGATGGGTCGCAGGCATCAATTGGGCGGACAGGGCGTCAGTCTGACTGAGCGTTTTCCAGGATCCGGCCTTTGCTGCCCAAGAGGAGGCCGCAGAAGCCGACTTCTGGAAGAGCTCCAAGGAGGCGGGATCAAAGTCAGCAGAGCGCGCACAGCACAGCACATGGTCATGCGGGTGTGTCTTTTTTCAGGGGAGCCACCAAAATGGCGGAGTTCCTTTTGGTTGCCCTCTAAAACCGCCAAAACGGGGCGGGGTACCCTCAAACGACAGAGCCATGTCTCCGCTTGAGTGCCCGGTTTCATTCGACGCTTGACGTGGGCCAAGGTGAGTTTGGACAGCCTGCCGTGGCGCCTCGTCCAACTTGCAGGGTTGACACTAGGGACATGAGTGTCATGGCAAGTTCACACAGCTTCTACGAGTAGTCTTGCGTGATATCATCAAGGGGACAGCCAGATCTGCAGACCATGGCACCTCCACCCTGTTGCCTTGTTTCAGCTAGCTGCGATTTCGGCGATTCGTTGACTCGTGGCTATGGTGAGCCCAACGCTGCACTTGTAAACCAAGTCAACGTGTTGCATTGCCATGCTGCCTGTTTTGTTTTTGTTTTTTTGTTGGCGCGATAACATGAAATGGTTCAAGGCACAATCATGCGCAACAGCCCTTTTTCGGACATAACCAACTCATGCCAGCTTGACACTTGGGGCCCGCTTGGCCTTGGTCCTTGTACCAAAGCCCGGTCAGCTCAGGCGCGGAACATTTCGAGGCGCAGACAATCTTCAATCGGAGAGTGGCAATTGGCTTCACACCTGCCCTCGGTATCCCAAAGTGAGAAAAGAAAGATTGCATTAGCAAACTACAATGCTGGAAGTAAAATTATAAAAGATTCGCCCAAATTCATGACTGTTGGTTTCTTTCCATTGCGTCAGCGGAGTGCAAATTGAGGGATCGATCCACCCCGTTAGAGCGCTGTGACTGGCAGGCCGGTTTACGGCGGACGCGGGCCGAAATCTCAAGTGCCGAAGGCAGCTGCTGGAAGGCTTCGGGTACTGGCAGCTCGGCAAAAGCGGTGCTCGGACTTGCGTCGAGGTTGCGGCTTTTGTGGCGATGCCCAACGCCACAGTACTGCCATACAGGGTAGCTCAATCCTACTGTGTACAGTATGCGGAACCGCCAAAAGAAAAGGGGGGTACCTCCCAAAAGGAAAGAAAAACACACCTAGAAACAAGCTTTTGGACCATGTTCCGAGGAGATCCTTGAAATGGCTGTGGGTCAAAATCAAGCAACCAGGGGACCGCAAATCTTAGTTTGTTTCCATTTACTATACCAGGGTTCCATTTTGAGGTTATCCCATTTTTGACCCGCAGCCAAATGGATTCGGCTAGGCCGAGCAACATCCCTGAAGAGCAGATCTTCTGGTGCTGCGCCCCGCAAGCCCCAGACGAGGTTTGGCGCATGGCCTCCTGGCTGCAAGTCGCTCAGTCTTTCGAAGGAACTCAACGGGGTGGTTTCCCTTTTTCCCGGGATTCCGCCCATGCTGAAAGCCCGGGTTCTAGCTGAAAGCGGCCAAAAGGCGGGCAAAGGCTCCTCAATGCCTTGCTTGATGCTTTCAGCAAAAAGTTAGATTCCATGACAGAGACTGCATGGGATTTTCTAGGCGGTTAGCGGATTCGGATATCCACCTTTGACGCGCCGGCTGTTGCCGGAAGGTTGAATGGCTTCTCCTCCATATGAAGGACGTGGTCAAGGCCAGAGTGCACTCTGGTCCAGTGCATTCTACCCACTCCGGGCGCGCTTGGAAATTTGCTTTCTGCACACTTCTTTTGTCCCTTTCCAAGGTGCAGGCAAGGTCTCTCTCAACCGCAAGCGCCCGCAGGTCATGCCGCAGATCATCAAGAAAGTGCCCGGCGGCGTGCAAACTGCCGGTCTCTCGCCTCGGTTATGGGTGAAACGCGCGCGAGGACCGCGCGAGGGCCGCGCGAGGGCAGCGGGCAAGGCCACTGAAACGGATGCGGCACAGGCGCTCGTTCTCTCCCAATTTGTCCAACCCGGCGCCTTGATTATATTTGGGTGTGGCAAATAAAATTCAAGGGCTAGGGGTTACGCAGGTGTTAGTCTTTGGTTCCATTTGCCAGTACATTTTGTTGAGCTACAGCCTATATTGGTTGAACCTGGGAGATGTGAAACAAATGATGCCCTTTGCTGTTCAGAAGCACGTCGATGCGCGCGGAGAAGTTGGTCACGCAGCTGTGTCTTAAAAGGGGGATCTCCAAAGTGGGCGGTTTTGCTTCTGGCTTCCCTTCAACACAATCCGAAGTATCTTCTTGCAATTTGGGTGTGTGACATTTTTAGGGAACCCCTTTTGACAATCAACTTACTATGACTCAGGATTTGTAGTGGTATGTATGCGTGGTTGTGCCTGGCTCCTGCGTCACATCTGACACGTGGATCATGATTGTGTTGTGTGCTGGTACTGCGACCGGAGCTACTCAAACTACTGTGGATGGACGAAATCCTGCACCACTTGGAAACCATGGGAAACCAGTGTTCGTGGGTATTTACAGGGGAATCATCATTCCAGGGTTTCTGAACGGTGGTGCGAAATGGATTTCGTCCATCCACAGTATTGCTGCGCATGCGTTCAGGGCCACTTCCCAGTCTTGCCTTCACCAGAAGCCGAGTCCTCAGCTCAGGCTGCCTGAGCTGTGGCGAGCTGGAGCGGGGCCTGAAAGCCCTTGGCTTCAAGAGGCTTGAGAGACCTTGACTTGGGAGCTGGGGCATCCAAATTTGGAGCTTTAAAGAGGGAGGCTTTCGGAGCCACCAGGAGTTCTGTAAGGCTGTAAGGACATGGTGGCTTGCTGAGTTGTGACCCTTGCTTCTTTTCAGCCCTCGGGTTGTCAACCACCACCCCCTGGTTTCACCTTGACATGTGGCGCTCCATGATCATAAAGCAGCTTCTTCGGATAGCCCTTGGCAGGCAATATACAAAACAAATAGCGCTAATAACAGTTATCATCCTGGAGGACCGTTGCCTGCTGGAATTTATTTCAGATCTAAACTGATAAGAGTAGCAACACCTTGAGGCGTGTGTGTGTGTGTGTGTTCCTCAATTCTCCTAAGCAGGCTCGACAAGCCCACTTTGAACAGATTTCAAGTTGTGTGTGTGTGTGTGTGGCGCGGAGACTTGATTTGCACAAACAAATGAAATGGCCAGGCTTAGCAGTCTCTCATCCGTCTTCAGCCGCTTGGTGAGTCATACGTGAGTCGAGGTGAGTCCTCTAGCTCCTCAAACCTTGGTTTGTTTGTTTTTTTTTTCTGACTGCAGCATGCGGCGGCTTTGTCGATGGCATTGTTCAACCAGCTTTCGGATCCTTCCTGTCCGACTTGCGAGCCTTGGCTCGTTCCTCTTTTGCCTTTGACTCGGCCGCGAGTGAAATGAAGCACACCTCGTCTGCATGGGCCACGCGTGCCGAGGTTACCTCACGTCTTCAGAGACCATGTCTCAGGCAGCCGCGTTGACTCTCCCAATTCCAAGACAGTCCAACGGAATGCCAGGGCACGTGGGCCTACCTGTTTTTTGGTAGCGCTGGTGAATCAAGCTCAATGCACCATGTACAAGGGCTTGAGGGAAGAACAAAAAGATAGGTTGCTCGCTAGCAATGCTGTGTGCATCTACATGCAGTCTGGAAGGGGCTTTGCTTGCATTCTTACATCGTGCACAATGTGGTTGTGGCTTAAAATGAAAGCACCAGGCGACCGCAGGTTTTTGTCCATGTGTCAATTTACCAGGGCCAGCCATTTTGGGGTTATCCTATTTTTGACCCACAATGTGTGGGTTGCAAGATCTTGTAAATCGATGCTAAGTCGAAGGTTCGACTTCTCACGTGGCAGGCCGACTGGAAGAAGCTGGAGCCTTTCTGCCGTCCTCTGCAGCTGGCTGCTCAGGAGTGAAACGGAGTGATTTTGTAACTCCTTTGGGCTTTCATAACACGTTAATCAGCCTCCCGGCTGAAGAGAATTCTCCCAGTGCCCAGTTGCCATGCAGGATTTCATCGCCTTCATGCAAAGCATCGCTCTAGCCTTGGATGGGGCATGACTGCCCAATCTGCGCCGGAAAAGAAAAGTCTGCGGGCATTGGTGCTGTTATTCGGGGATTGGTGCTGTGGCTGCAGGTTGCATTAGAGCGGGACCACCGAAACACGCGCGGCCAGGTCAGTGGGGTTTTTTGCCGTTTTCAGACTCTCAGATCCCAGGCGGGCGACTCCTTGGAAGACTGGTGGCGAATCTTAGCGCCCGAGGCTACAGAGGCCCGGCGGTTGCTCCGGTGGCAGTTTCGAGCTGCTTCGAATAGCATGGGTAGAAGCGCTTTTTTGGCCAAGACATCGACCTGAGTGTCCCACGGAGGCTGATTTTGTTTGCAGCTTGGTTCCGCGCACTTGCCACTTGGTTGCGCGCACCTGTGAGGTCAGCCGGGTGCAATGGAACGATGCCTGCAGGACTTTGAAGAGATGGGATCATGCATGTGTCATCCATTCTGCGTGCGAGATTCATCCTGCACGCTTTGTGTTCCAGATGTTCCCAGCAATCTAGAGGCGCGCTTTCAGGAGCCTCGGCTTTTGCGGTGACGCCTCTCGAGCATACGAGCTCCTCGAAGAGGTGGGTGCCAGCACACATTTCGCGTTTTTGAAAGTTTGCACTGCTTGGCACATGTTAACATGATGGACAAGTACATTTTGTAATGAGTGATTTTGCTCCTTGTGGAATGTTGCTGCAGGAGGATGAGAGGATTTCCTGGACTGAGTTTCAGCAACTTCAACAATTCGTGTGACAAGCCATGATAAATTGTTTCTTTTTTCATTAAACAAAAGGGATATTGATGAAATACAAACAGAGATCATATATATGTCCAATATATAGGTGTATAGATATATATATAAATATGTTTATATTGATTCTTATGTATAATTGGGATGAATTATTATATTTTATATTTATTTCATGAATATGGATTTATTTATTGTTTCGATAATGATTTTATAGGAGTTGTTTGTATTAGAAATTATGTTAATTAATGGATTGGATATATATTATTTTATAAAAAGATACGATATTATATATTATTATTGTTTTAAACAAATAAGGAATTTGACATTTTTATTATCTTGGGTTTAATATATTTGGATTATAATAACCCGATAAATAATAACAAATTAATTACACAAAACACAAATTACAACTTAAAACAATAATATATAATACAAATAAAACAAATAAATTAATATAAAAAAAGATATTGATATATAATACAAATAATAATATAATTACTTAAGAATATTTTTACAAAACTATAAATAAAGACACCAAAAAACATAAGTAACCATATAATAATACAAATGGATAAAAACTAAAACAAAAGACACCTATAATTAATTAAAAGCTAACAAAAAACAAATAATAAGACGAATGAAGGACATAAACACACACAAAATAAATAGAGAATAACAAGGAAACAAAAACACTTACAATAACAAAATGAATCAAATTGATTGATTATAATCCCCAAATGCCTAACAAAAATAAATATAACTATTAAAAACATAATTATAAAATTTAAAATAAAATGCAATCTACAAATATATATATATATTAAATAATAACAAACGCATAATATCACAAACGAACAAACAACAACCACAAACAAATAAACACAAGAAGCACAAAAATCAAAAGCAAATCAAATCAATATGCAAAACAAATTAATTTTAATAATTATAATTCCCAAATATCTAATAAATATTATTATTTTTTTAAGAAATTTAAATTTGAACTAATATGGTCTTTTGAAAAATTATTAAATATCAAATATGTGTTTTGCTTATATTTTGTATTTCATATATTGGACATGATTTGTGTTTGTATTATTATTTGTGTTCGTTTGTTATGTTATTTGTGGTTGTTTGTAATGTAGTTAATTGTTCTGTGTTACTGTTTTGTGTTATATATATAATTTATTGTTTTGTTTTTTGATTAGTTGGTTGAAATTCAATGAATTTTAGTATAGATAAGGTTTGGGGGCGGTTTGGAGAATTTTGGAGTTAGATTTGAATAAGATTTGGGGTGGGTTGGTTTTGGTGAATGGTAAATGCTATTTCAGATTGGGAATAATAATAAAATGATATTTATAAATATATATATATATATTATATAAATTGATTAATATTTTAATTTAGTTATTATGTTTATATATATTAAGAATTAATAATTATATATAGATATTAATATATAAAATATAATTAGAAATTTATAATTGATGTATTTAAACATAATTGAAGTATTAAATATAATATATTTAAATGAGTTATTAATATTATATATATATTATAAATATTTAATTTAATTGTTTATATATATATTTATTTATTTATTATGGATTGATTATATAATATTTTTAGATATTGAATGAATTTATAATATTGAATTGTATTAATATATATTTTTATATATTGAAAGATATTAAAGAGAACTAATATTAACAAAAACACGAAAACGAAGGGGAAAAAAGGAAAGAAAGAAACAAATAAAAGGGAAAATAAACAAAAGGAAAAAAGAAAGAAATAATGAGAAAAATAAAGAGAATTATTTTGTTTCGAGCAATGCTTATCCTCTTCATTTATATGGCTAAACAAAATTATTTATTTATAACCCAAAATAATACCAAAATATCATTTTTTCTGAACCTTAAAATATATTTAAAATACGAAGACATTAATATGAAATCTAAACCTAATTATGCCGCTTCGGTTCGATACTGGCCGGATACTCGGCAGGATCCATTGGCAAGGGATATTCAGCGGGATATTCGGCGGGTCTATTGGCGAGCTGTTCTTGGATACTCAGTGGGATTTTTAGCGGGATCCACGATACTTGGCGGGATCTATTGACGAGTTACTCTGACGGAATACTCCCCCGCAGGCTGCTCTGGTGGGATACTAGGCGGGATTCATTGGCGGGCTGCTCTGGTGGGATATTGGGCGGGATCCATTGACGAGCTATTCTGGATATTCGGCGGGATCTTTTAACGAGTTACTCTGGGATAATTGGGATATTCGGCAGGATTTATTAATTAGCCGCTTTAGCCGAATATTCGGCGGGCTCCACTTACGAGCCGCTTTGGGATGCTTAGCGAGATATTCGGCGGGATCTTAATAGAATATTTGGCGGGATCCATTCGCGAGTAGCTTTGGCGGAATATTCTATATATATTCTATGGGATTTATTGATGAGCCGCTTTGGCGGGCTACTCGGCGAGATCCATTCGTGAGCAGCTCTAACGGGATACTTGGCGGGGACTTCACTTCCGAGCCGTTCTAACGGGATATTTGGTGCCACTGGCAAGATGCTCTGGTGGGATATTCGGGGGGATCCACTAACGAGAAGCTCTAGCGGGATTCTGGGCTGCTCTGCCGGGCTACTGGGTGGGGGCATGGTATAGAAGCATCGCAAATACGGGGTCCAACATAAAATCTCATAACCCCTTCTTGTCGGGTGGGGAAAAAGAGAGAGAGAGAGAAAAAAAAAGGAGAGAGAGAGAAAGAAATAGAAAACGAAAGAAAGAGAGAGAGAGAGAGAGAAAGAAAGAAAGATAAAAAGAGAAAAAAAAAGATAGAACAAGAATTAAAGAAGGAGGTAAGTAGGTAAGCAAGAACAATAGTAAAATTAATTAGAAACAAAAAGGAAAACAGAATAAAAAGAAGAAAGCGGAGCTTAAAAGGCGGATACGGCATACAAAAACATGGAAATGTATTAGTTTTATGAATCGACCCATAAAAACAAATATAGATAGATAGAAAGATAGATACATATTACTAAATAAACAAATTCGGCCATATAGAAATAGATAGAGAAACAAAAAAATAAAGAAATAAAGACGAACGATAAACACGGACATATACAAACAAACCGAGATAACCCGAGAAATAGAGAGACACAAACAAAGAAATAGAGTGCAGGACCCTTAGACAGAGACACAGAGAGAGAGAGTCGAAGAAAGGGAGAGATGGGTAGATAGAAAAACGGAAAGAAAACGGTGGAGAGGTAGGTAATTACATATATATTTTTTTTTATGTATGTAGAAAGATAGATAAAACATATGTATGTGTATATATATATAGATCGGTATATATCGAGAGAGATAGATATGGACACAGACTGGGAGACACAAAGAGAGGCAAAGATACACAGACATCCGGCACAAAATTTTCGAGAAAATTCGATTCGGATAAATCTCCAAATTGCCCCTAAAATTTGGCTCGGTATTTTTTTCGGAAAGTCGCCAAATTCTAAAGAAATTTGCGGGGATAATATTCGGAAACCCAAGAGTCGCGTCGCTGGAAGCGATTCAAAATTCGCGAAAATTTGGCTGGGTTACGAACAAAATTGCTAAAAAAACCCTGAAATTTCGGCAAAATTTCGGGGCTTTCCGGGCCACACGAAGAAGCGGGAATTTATGCCGCGGAGAAAAGACCGGAACAAGCATAGTCGCTCGTCGCGAGCACGACGATTCGGCCGGAGTACCGTTGTAACGATTTGCCGATGCACGGGAAATACGATCTCGAGGCTGTATCGATTTATAGACAATATTATTAAATATCAATTTAATTAATTTAATTTATATAAATATATATGTAGATATTTATATTTTATAATTCGATTATTCCTTCCTCTTAAGTGAGGGTTTTTAGATTTTATGTCAATAATATCCTCTTTTTATTCTTCCTTCTATTCCTCCTTTTCCTCCTTCTCTTCTTTCTCCTCTTTCTCCTCCCCCCCCCTTCTTTCCTTTTATGCCCTATATGTTCCTGTTTCTTACTTGCTTTATTACCGGGGCTAGTTGCGGAGTGTATTGCATTAAATTTATAGTAGGGTTAATAACGGTCACATTAGATTTCTCAAAGGGCTAGATTTAATATTGTATAATGGGTAAAAATATTTGTTAGAAATTATTTTATATGTAAAATATTTTAGAGTGTATAATAGAATGTGTAAGAAAATGCTAGAATAAATATTAGAAGAATTGCTAAAATTATATATTATAGTATAGATTAGAAGCTCTATTTGAATTTTTGGTAACGAATATAGCAACTTTATTAATATAAGCTTTGTCCGGGAAAATATTAGAAAGCATGCCAGAAAAGAAGTTAGGAAACAAATCAAAATAAATATCAAAGAAATTGTTAGCGGCATAGGATTTTTCCCATGAACCGTTAGAATAAATATCGGTGGAATTTTGAGAAACAATGGAATAGTTCATGTCTGAAGCAACATCAAAAAATATGTTAAAGATAACATAAATCGTGGAAAATCATTAGTATTCTCCGATCGGGACGATAATGGGAAATTTTATGCAATATATGTTAATAAAATAAACACATAAATGGCTTGCAATTGTTTAAAACCATGTATTTTGCTTAAAACCCACTCAGCATTTAAAGCGGCTTACCACCATTTTGACGTCTTGTTATGGCAATTGTAGCAGTTATGGTAGCTACATTGCGGTAGGAGGTACGTTGCCCTCAAAGGGTCACATCCAGCGAGCAAAAAGAAAATTTGTGTCTGGGTAAATTTGTGCAAAACCAATTGTTTTATTTTGTGCAGGGAGGATCTAATAATGAGGCATTCTAGAGATTTTTATTCTTGTAACCTTGAAGGAGCTATTTAATGCGGATTGAATGGGCTTTCTCAATAGCAAATGCCAGGGTATGTTAGCTTTTAGCGCGCAAGTAGAAGTATTTTGTTAATTTTCTAAATATCCTTTATAAACCTTTTTGTACATATTACCTAACTAAACGGCGATTTTACGCAGAAG